GTACAGACAGATCCAAGGCTTCCCAATTCACCAAATACAATGACACACCATAATAAATGGCCAGCGGGACCCTGTCCCCAGTTCTTAAACACAACTCACCTCTATATTTGTATAGGAATATAGTCCATTTATCAGATTCTTAATATGGTCAGCAAAAAAGGCAATGTTAATCATATGATCAATATGTATCAAGAAGATGAATTTGGAACACTAGTGCAAGTTAGAATTCTTTCAATTTGATAAGGAATTGAGGCTGATAGTCACAGAGATTCAAAAGGCTTGTAACCTCAGTGACATCCAAATTTTAAAAAAAGTGCCTCCCAAGAAGCTCAAACATAATGTAATGTGAAACCTTCAAGGTGTAAAATACAAGCTAATGTTCAGATAAGACACGCTTTACTCTTGTATATGGGTCGGTATATCAGTTCTCTGCTGTTTATCATTTTTTGTTTAATATCAATGAACCTTATCCAGCTCAAGGGATGGGCAATACCCTCGTGATTGGCTGAACCTTATGCAACATTATTGGCTGAGTCAATTAAACATAATGCGAGAGTATATAATAATTGAATTAGATCATAGAAAAGGAGAGAAACAGGGGGTTCTAAAAAAAAGGTAAGGCATAATCTAGATTTAACAGAAATATAAGGATTTGTAGCATATCCTTCATATCCTGTAGATGAAGAAAAAAAAAAACTTCTCAAAAAGACTCTACACACGAACATGGATAGATGGGGGATTTGTATTAAAAAGATGTAGATACATTAGTGTTAGTGGCAAGTGTTAGTTCAGTCCCTATGAAGTGGAGATACTATATGTCATGTATGCAGAGAGACACAAGAAATAAATCACACATAGGCTTTCAGGTACATCAGTAAACAAAGATATGATTTACATATGAGGATGCAGGTTGAGCAAAACAGGCAGGGTTATTCAATAAACTAAGATTTTTTTGGGGAGGATTTCAGTGGGATTTCATATTTTAAGCCAATGTAGCTAAAGTGAAAAAAAAAATGCAATTTCACATTTTTGTTCTAAAAAAAATTTGTATTGAAAGTCTAACAAATTCCCTGCTTAGTGAATAACTCTGAATGGGTTGTTGTATACATTAGACAGTGTCCTAGGGAGCACATGCTATAGTACTCAGGGAGATGTTTATCGCACATGGTGTAGGTAGCTAAGAGTAAGGAGTACCCAGAATTATGCAGGAAGAACCTAAAGCTGTGATGTGTTTGGAAGAACTTTAACTTTTCATGTGTTTTATTAAATTTTTCCGTAGAGCGTAGCGAGTAGATTCTGTATTTTCTTGTGGCGGAGAATGACAGAGCAAGATATTACACACAATGGCGGTGATCTGAAAGCTCTGCTTAAGTGGCATCGTACAGAGATTGCTGTGGCCGTAACTGACCTCTTCCCTTTACTGCATGGGATGATGGACAGAAATCTAGTCCCTGAGGACAGGTTCCAGGTACGTCTGCTGGTATGTCATCATGACACTATGCATGCGCAAGATTTCTGAAGTAACAGTGTTAGATAATGCACATACATTGTACTGAGAGAAACATTTACTGTCTGCTAAATATATAAAATGTATAAAACAATTTCCATCACACAAACTGTCAAAGCAGAATTTGCATCAATATTGAAGAGCCGAGTAATTATAGCCTGGGAACTTTGCTGCTCACAACGTATACAAATATATGTAACGATGCTCTAAGTTTTAGACAACCTGATTTAAATATAATGAGGAGATTTATAAAAGTGCCAAAAAATGAAAAGTAACTGATAAATGTAAAGTTCTTAATATGGAATAAGCACCTTGGAAAATTATTTCTTTTTATGTCACCACTTTTTGAACTTCACATCACTTTTCTCTTAGTGACACTTTTATAAAGGTACAACAGGTTTATTGCACCCTGTACCTGACATGTATCTACTGTGTGAGAAGTAAGAGAATACAGATTGGAATACAAATTCCAATCTAGGCTAAAAAGCTGGAATTGTGCCATGATTTTATGTATATTGTCTATTCAGACATCTTTATAGCAGTATAAAATAACAACCAAAAGGAAATAAAAACATCAGATGAATCACATTTATAAAAAAAAAAAAATGATGTTCCTTTCTATATTTACCTTTTCTTTATTTATAATGAAAAAATAACATTTAGAAACTAAGAGACATTTGGGTTTATTTAATAATTTGGAAATTGTAGAAAATTTGAAAAGCAGATATAAATTATGAGCCACATTATTAAGAATTAAAGAAAATGTGCCACAAAAGACAACAGGTTACCTTGGCAGCCAGGAGGGCCCTGGCTCAAGTATGGCTACAGAGAGAGACTCCCCCACTCAATATGGTGATACAAAAGAGCACAGATACATTCATCATGGATAAGTTAACTGCTCGGGTCAGGGGTACTATTAAGAAACTGGAAAAGGTCTGGGGCCCGTGGATAGACAGCGGAGTGGGTGATTAGGAGGGGGGGGGTGGGCTCGTTCCCCCAGTAACCCCGTCGCTTTTCCAAGCTATTGAGATCAACAAAAACTCTCAATTTAATCTCCTATAGTGGGACTTTCAGGATCCCACCGAGAGGTTCACAGGGTACAGCCTGCCCCATGGGCGCTAAGATTCCCGTTAACATATGCGGTCATACGGCGACCAGACCACCTAGACTAGCCTGTATCATTAGTGGAAATTCCCTGTAATACCCCCTTCCATTCCCGTCCTTTTTCTCCCTTTCCTTTTTTCTTTTCTCTTTGTACTCGCAGGTTTAACTTCCACCTTTCCTATCTATTAATTTCTTGTTCTCTAACTCTGACTGACATCTAATTCTCGACCAATCCGCTAGCTAAAGCCTTGCACTAGCTGGGGCGAGACATAGGGCGCCTGCAGGTTAAACACGGTTACAATGGCAATACAACGCTGGCGATTCCATACACTAGGCTGGAGTCCACTGATTTTGCTAATCTCTTATCGCATCGTATAGGTCGATGAATATGGACACCTTGTATGAGTAACAAGTGTATTACAGTCAGTCAGGAGTCTATGTCTTATCTAATTTAAAAAATAGGTAGGACGCCACCATATACGGACTCTCACAGTCAACAAGCAATCGTCCGCTAATTTGCTCAAGGCTGGTTTTATGAATATACGCAACTATTTGCCTGATACTAATGTTGATATGTGTTAGTGTTAATGTTCACACTTGTATTATATTGTATACCTCGTTGTGGTTTCTGGCCTTGACATAAATAAAGAATTTTTTAAAAAAGACAACAGGTTAAATCTGTGGAAGAATACATAGTTACATAGCTGAAAAGAGACTTGGGTCCATCAAGTTCAGCCTTCCTCACATATGTTTTTGCTGTTCATCCAAAAAACCTAGTGTGAAGCGCTTCCAATTTTGCAACAAACTAGGAAAAATTCCTTCTTGACCCCAAAATAGCAGTCAGATGTCTCCTTGGATCAAGCAGCTATTATCCCACTAATTAGAAATGATATCCCTGTATGTTAAGTTTTTGCAAGTATTTATCCAATTGCAGTTTAAACATCTGTAATGACTCTGATAAAACCACCTCTTCAGGCAGAGAATTCCATATCATTGTTGCTCTTACCGTAAAAAAAATGTTTTCTTTGCTTTAGATGAAATCTCCTTTCTTCCAGCCTAAATGCGTGACCTCGTGCCCTGTTTATTAATAGATTTCCAGACAATGGTTTGTACTGGCCCCGAATATATTTGTATAATGTTATCATATCCCCTCTGAGGCGCCGTTTTTCCAAACTAAAGAGATTTACATTTTTTAACCTTTCTTCATAACTAAAATGCTCCATTCCTTTTGTAAATTTTGTAGCTCATCTCTGCACTTTTTCTAGTGCCATGATATCCTTCCTTAGAACAGGTGCCCAAAATTGCACAGCATATTCAAGGTGTGGTCTTACCAGTGATTTATAAAGAGGCAAATTTATATTTTCATCCCGAGAATTTATGCCCCTATCTATACATGACAAAACCTTACTGGCCGTAGCAACTGCAGATTGACATTGCATATTACTGCCTAATTTGTTGTCTATAACAATTCTCAAATCCTTCTCGTGTATGGTTATCCCTAATTCACTACCATTTAGAGTGTAAGTTGCTTGTGCATTCTTGACCCCGAAGTGCATAACTTTGCATTTCTCTACATTAAATTTCATCTGCCATTTTAGGGCCCAGTCCCCCAGTCTATTCAAATCCCTCTGCAGCAAAGCAATATCCTGCTTATATTTTATTACTTTACAATTTTTTGTGTCATCTGCAAAAACTGAAACATAGCTTTCAATGCCTATTGCAAGATCATTTATAAATATGTTAAATAGAAGCAGTCCCAAAACAGAACCCTGAGGGACACCACTTACCACTTTTGTCCAGCCTGAACATTTACCATTAATGACAACTCATTGTGCTCTATCCTAAGCCAATGTTCTACCCAAGAACAAGAATATTCATCTAGACCACTTTCTTTTAGTTTGAAGATTAACCTATTGTGAGGCAAAATCCAAGTAGATCACATCCACTGCAACACCCTGATCTATACTTCTACTTACTTCTTCGTAGAATGCAATTAGGTTTATTTGGCATGACCTATGTTTCATAAAACCATGCTGATTATTGCTAATAACAAAGTTCTTCCCAATGAATTCCTGAATATTATCCCTTACCAGCCATGAAATAATTTCCTAGTCACAGAAGTAGCTGAGAAATAAAATTTTCTAAAAGGAATGAGTGTAGTAAAGCAAAAATGTTACTGAAACCAAATAAAATATACTAATAAAAGGTGTACTGTGTGAAAATGAAGATTATATTTTATTGTATGCCACTAATAAAAATAGGTGTTTCGGTGGCCTGACGGGCGATGCGGATGGTCGCACAGTGCTGAGCTCCGCGCACCGACGGCCCGAAAAAGCTAATTTCTAAGCAGTACCGGCAATTATCCGACCCACACACAACCCCCCCAGGCATGGCAGCACAGAAGGCCAAGAAGCAAGCCGAGAAAACCGATCGGGCCGGCTTTTTTGCGACCCGAGCGTCGACGCCAAAATTGATGGGCCTAGCTGACCAGGGACAAGATGGCGACGGAGGTAATGACACACTGCCACTACCAACATCCCCAGGCACACAAAACCTGCCAGTTACCCAAGACTTCCTACAGAAGTGTCTAGACACCATGTCCAGCAGGATTCTTGAAACCCTGCAAGGTACACTAGGAGAAGTGAAAAGGGAGATGCAGGAGCTGGGGGACAGGACTGCACAAGTGGAGAACCGTGTGGAAGAACAAGCCACTGTGCATAATGTTATGGCAGAACAAGTACAAGAGCTGCAACAACAACTTGACACCACGCAGAGGAAGGTCATGGACCTAGAGGACCGTTCGAGACGGCAGAACCTTAGAATCAGAGGCATCTCTGAGGAGGTAAAGCAGCAAGATCTACATGAATACCTAATAAGGGCTGATATTTTACTGCTGGATAGATATCACAGAGTGACACCCCCAGAGATGTGGCTAAAGAAGCACTACAAAATGCTACCCTCCGCTTATACAGTATAGATGGGGATTCCCTATCCGCCTCCTAATCAGAAGGAATGGACTGGTGCACAGCTGGAACGTCCTGCAAAAATGAACTAACACATTGAGGACGCTGAGGCAAAGCCTGAAGTCTGGCGGTCGGAGAAGTGCAAGTATTCCCAGCACTACACGCCTAACCATAAACATTTACAAAACACACATGACACATTCACTCATAAGCACACAGGATATTAATGTATATATAGATACATACACACACGCAAAAAAAAAAAAAAAAAGGCCAGGAAGGCTTGACGTGCATTTGAACCATGAACATAACACAAAGCCCATAACCCACACACACACACACACGAAAAAAAAAATAAAAAAAAATAAATAAAAATAAAATAAAGTAACGCAACCTATACGCCACAGCAACAGCCGGTAGATTCACACATACAATGATTGCAACACGAAGGTGAATACCGAGGGAAAGATTCGGGCACCCTAAGTGCAACCAATTACACCACACCTTAGAAGTCGACAGAGTAACCACGCTCCCACCTTGCACTATCGTGATAGTGCAATACCCTTCAGTGGGAAATGTATACTGAACCGTTTGTAAATGTATACACTTATGTTTTATTCTATGTGACTGTTATATATGTTGTTTATACTGCCAATTCCTCATACCTACCCTCTACCACCCTATGGAGACAAAATACACAGGAACCCCTGGGAACAGGTACCTCATCAATACACAGACAAACAGTATAACAGATCATGAAAATTACAACCACAACGTTAAGGGGTTGAATACCCCAGTAAAGAGGTATTGTTATAAGAAAGTATTTTTATAAGTGTGTTTACCCGCAACAGCAAAAGCACAATATCCGGTACAATTCCACAGCACTGCCACATCAAAAACTAAAGGGGTTGCCATGCTAAGAGCAAACTTTAAGCCCTTGTACGAAGACACGGACACACAGGGGAGGTTTATAATACTGGCGTGTGAAATTAACAATTTAGAGTACACTAACAGTGAACATTTACGACGCAAAAGAGAAACTTTTTGCACAAAATTATAACGCGACTTGAGCGGGTCCAGAGGGGCATCACGTTCATATGCGGGGATCTGAACCACATACTTGACCCCAAAAGAGACTCAACGGTAGGACCAAACACACCCAGACACGCAACCCTCACACGAGAATGTAAGCCCCTGGAACGCTTGTTTAGGAGGTATTACCCGGGAGACATTATAGATTTTTAAACAATACCCAGATTTTAAAGGGAACGTTCCTTAATCAATTAATAGCATGCTCGATAGGGAACATTACGTGGTGACGCCCCAGTTACCCTCGAACGAGATGATGACATAAACACAGAAGGATGAGACTCTCCTAAACCAATTTTGTAGACCCCGTACACAAATAACTAACCACACTCAAATCACGCCAGAGACGATCAGGCACACAAAGGGGGGGTAGGGCTGCGCCACGGGAAAAGAAAATCTTAATTAAAATACCCTTAACAAAAATACTTGATTACTAGATGACAGGCAGGACAGGGGTGCCCCTGGCCGATTCGCATAAAAGCCTACCCTTGGGAAAGTTAAGGAGGACAGTAATACAGGGATTCATCAAGCATTGTTATGCGGGACTGTCACACAAATGTGCCCTAAATTCTAACAACAGAATCCAAGATATGGGGACGTATAAGCTTAACTACACAACTCCCCGAACATAAGGAACGCAGCAGCACAGGGCACTTCCCTACTTAGAGAATCATCTACACCTCGAATAACAAATCATCTTACATAGATATCTGTAAAGAAGTAATTCACACCCAGATTATAAGGAAACAACACGACACAAGCACTAGTATGAAGGGTAAAACACCCAAGACCTACCGTTTACTGCAGCACGATAGGGAACATACGTTGTTACCCTTCATATGACACTCCAAGTCTCACAGAATTAGGACGCTCCATGATTCAGGGCGAGCGTGACGGGATGCTGGGCAAACACCAGTAAAGCTGCTTAAAAGAAATAAACGCAGGACGAACAGTACGTCAAGCAGTCTGTCACACAGAAATGTGTTTGACGACTGCATTTATATCCTACTTATAGAGAAGCACAGAATAGTCGGATCATAATGTAACATTAGTGTCACTCGCAGATTTCATGTAACACACACAGAAAGCAAAAGATCGGTTCAATAACAACTCAGGAAGACATCCTCTACTATACAGCCAAATGACTCACAGAAAGGTGAAGGGGGGAGCGCTCACTCCCACTTCTTAAATGTCACTATCGCGACAGGGGGAAAAACCCTTGGGCTCACAGTACTCATGGGGACTACAGCAATGGAATATAAACATTGGAATCCCCAGACCTTTATAAAGGTGTTAGCAATTGCTCTACTGTCCACACAGCCCACCTGTTTGTTTCTTTAACTCATTAAATAAAAAATGTGTTTGTAAAAAAAAAATATCATTCTATATGGATCCGTCATTATAATGTCAAATCTATCTTTATTACTAGGGACTAAAGCTATGCCAGGAAGTAATCAAAGATTCCATGTTTATGATAGACATACGCAGTACCAGACTAATTGAATTGTGCTCACATTTATTCGAGATTTAGTTGCATTCTAGGCAGAACTACCAACTGATGAGGAAATGAATGGTGGACACAGTTTTAGGTACGATAAGCCAGCCCCAAGAGTAGACACTAGAGATGTTATCTTGCCAGAAAAATTACCGAAACATATCAACATAGGTATCACACATTAATAAAGCCAACCTAGAATATCCCGACAAGGCTACAGCTCTCACTCCAATATAGACCTTCTTATAAAATAATGACCAAATTGGGAATATACATAAAATGGCACACGCACAATTTGGAACACGAAAAGAGGTATTCAAGCACACGACCTGTGGGTTCAAGAAATCAAGGCTAAGACACCACCCCCCCTAACCACGTCCACACTGTTCCTACCGACTCTACTAAACAAAATCGAGAGGAACCACGCAGAGCGCCAACAAATACTACCCTGAGTATATATTAAAAAAAAAAAAAAAAAAAAGGGGTTTACACTCTCTCAAAAGCTCCACAAACACACAACTCAGGGAAATTCCTTCAACTAACTATGTTGTCCACTGATATTATATAACTACACATGCTTTCCTGTGTAGCCACCGTTAGTAACTCCCCCCTCTTTCCTCGTTCTGGAGATTCCTTTCTTTTTGCTCACAAAAAGACAAAATACAAAAATGAAGCAATTGGAAAAAACTAAAAAATAGGTGTTTCACAGTATTGCAGAAGAGTCATCTTATGTTAAATATATTTTATTTAACAGGGACAGAAACTTCCTCCTTTGAAAAATCAATCAAAGAAAGTTTATATATGTCCCAGAATTCAAAGTAGGTTTTATATATTTAGAATTGCAGTGTTTTATTAGCTGGTACACAGAAATATTGGACACAGGTCAATTAGTAACAGGCCTGTATTCACATTACCGATCGGGTCTCAGATGAACTCCTGTCACCTTCATCTGAGAGGTTTTTCATAGGTAACAGAAGAACTATAACTCCTCCCATTAATAGCTACACCCACATCTTTTTAACCAATCAATGAAAAGAATTTAGACTTGTACATCTAGTCATCCATGGCTCATCCAAGACAAAGGAAATAAGTGCAATAGTGTGCATTCCTGCAAACTCATACCTTAAATGAGGTAAACAAAATTGGATACCACAACACACGCACAATTTGGTATTTTTAAATATTTTAATGCTGTCAAGAAATCCAAAAATATTAAACATTAGTCCCTTCCTTAATCAAAGAGAACACACATGGAGGCCAAAACCACCACCCCAAATATAGTATAAAAAAAAAAAAAAATACTCTTATTTCATATAATTAGAATCAGGGATAATACCATTCAGCCAGCCAGTCTGCCCATATCTAGTCTCTATATTACTACTATTAGTTATATTAGGTACCTGGAATAGACACAGCAAATAATAAATGGTTGTCTACCACTTTCCTGGAATGTATTCCTCATACCACTCCTCTCCAACTACTTAGGTTATAAAGACCTGAATACATGCTCAAATTTAACCCTGATCAGCCACTGCCTGCCCTTCATCATTTGTGCAGACAACAGTTACTTAGATTAAACTTTGTCCCTTTCAGTTTTTTTTATTTATAGAAGCCAATCCACTCCAATGACAACTTTTTGGCAGCCCAAACATGATTTCCAAAGGTCTCTCCTGTTTCGATTGGCAACAGAAGAAGGATGGCTTTGGCATACCTAATGTACATGCCCCTTAAATCTTGTGGTAACTCCAAATAAGTTTTCTTACCACAGATCCAGTACCAATCAATAAGTCAAACCAGCAGACATTGTATAACAGACTTGTACATCTAGTACACCCATCATGGCTCTCCCAAGACAAAGGAAATAAGTGCAATTTCAGTTCCCGCATTCCTGCACATGCTCAGTACATCTGATGACAGTACTAGCAGTATGAAGCTCCAGAAAACACACAACTCTGGTAGCATGTTTATATGTGGATGTCTAACTATGTTGTACACTGATATGTATATCAACTACCATAGCTAGTGTCTGTGGTTATTGTGGCGGAAATTTAGTTCTTATGCAAAAGAAAACACAAATGTAATGGAAAAAAAAAAAACAGGTGTTTCACAGTATTTCCCCAATTGAATATAGGATTTAAGGATCACTCTCATGAAAAATCAAAGAAGTATAAATGTGTAGAATTCTGAAGTAAGTCTTCACAGCAGTGTAAATGAAGAAGCCAAACAAGGTAGCACACAGTCTTCAAAGTAACAGCCTTTACACCTACTTGATGATGACTTTGACACTTTTCAACTATGAAATCAAATATCAACAGGGTGTCACTGCTGGTTTCAACTTTTTTTTCCTGCAAGGATTTGTTGCAGCTTCCGAGCACCTTTACCAGAGCTGGGGTTTAGATAAAAGAAATGAAACCACAAGGCTCCAGGATACAATTAGAGCAGATTATGAATATCATGTAACGAGCAAGTTACAGGATACAGTTTTTTCACTCTATAGGCTGGAATTTGGGATCATTACATCACTCACTGGTTTTCTTCACCACTTACTCACTATGGATAAGAAGTTCATTCTCTTCCCTTGGGCTATCACACCATTCATCTAGGAATTTACCATAAACTTCTTATTTATCAGATGCACCGATTATCACCATTAAAGCAGGTAATCCCTGAGCTTCTTAAAGCTTCCTAATAGATAACTCGTCCTAAAAGTTGAACTTCACTCTGGATATATAGGATCTAATGCTTTCCATCGGCCTAGAATACTATAGTGGACTCTTAAGAACACAGCTGCAGAATTCTCCCAGTACTATCACATCAATGAAGGCGGAGCCACCATCTTAGTCACCACAGAATGTTCAGCACCTGTGTCGATCATGAAAGAACTTCTCTTTCCCCTATTGCTACATCGACCATAGGCTCCGCTCGACCAAGTGGGATGGAGCCCAGTCGGTATCAATAGTCTTCCATGATAGTGTCAGCCAGACCCACAAAATCTCTATCCTCTCTTTCTCTAGGTCTCTGCGTGGGTGGATAGTATCTGTCTCCTTGAACACTTCCTCTACTATTCCCACCATTCCCTCTAAAACTTCCTCTTACTCTATAACTACCACTATAACCTCCTCGTACCCTTCTCTCTCCTTGTCTATCACCTTCATACTGCTCTCTCTGTGGACACTCACTCTTCCAATGTCCCTCCTTTCTACAATACGCACATTAATTCCTACTTAAAGTCCCTTGTCAGCCTATTCTCGTCTCCTCTATTTTAGATAGCTACCGCTAGCATATCTGCCTTTTTCCTTTTTACGTTCTTCCTCCGTCTCCCTATTCATATATACTGTATTTGCAATCTCCATTAGCTGTATTATGGACATCCCTACAAATCCCTCTAAAATTTCCTTTTACTATCACCTTGGGCCTGGCTGACAAATGCTGAGTCTATCATTCGGAAGTTTTCAGGAGCCTCTGATATCCTAGGCTTGATTTTAATAATCTAAATATAGTTCTAAGGTAAATTAAACAATTCAGGTTGTAAGTTTAAAGTAAAAGGGGTACATTGTTGGACAAAGCTTAGGAGGGGCCCATCCAGTAACTAAACCACCAATATACCATCTGATACCATTGATTAAGGCCTTAGACCAATACAAGACAAACTACTAGTTACAGCCACATGTACACTCTGCACTAAATTTAAGTGAAGACTGCTACATGGAGGCCATGATCACAAGAGCCTTGCCAGAAGAAACAATTCCACAGTACATCTGCACAAAAAGCTGTGAAGACTACTACATTAGGCCACACCAAGGACTTATCACCTTTACACATTTGTTACATACAAGATACTTATAATACAGAATCACGAAGATTAATTTCAACAGAGCATCTGATTCACAAAGTAGCTGGTAACAAACTATACACACATGTTATCAACAGTCACACCAATCTCCTTATCACCAGCAACACATTAGCACAGTCCCACTAGGCCCACAACACACACACAGGATCCTCACATGCTCAACAATAATCCACGACGTCGCACACACGAAATTAAATAAAAAACAAAAAACCACCAAAGACTATACACTTAATCAATGTAACTCCTAGGGCACATACAATCTATCCACCGCTTATTAATCCATAGACGACAAGGAGGTCCACGCAGTAGAAGTCCAGGTTGTAAACATAGAACTAGTTAAACTGGTAAAAGTTTGAACCGTCTCAAAAAATCTCTTGCGTAACCATGCTTCGCGTGCGATGAGGTTCCCGGGCCAATGGCAGAACCCTCAGGGCACCATATATTACCAGAAGGAAACGAGTAATGTATTGTCCTGGCATGTTTTACCTGTGGTCTCTAGTGAGTCTTAGCAAGTTTATAGCAGTTAATGTTTATATGCATCCATTTGTTCTCCATTTCAGATATCCACTCACAGGAAGATATCCCCGAGAGCTGAGTAAGGTCGAGAGCTGAAAGGTCCCGGCAAATATGGGGTGAAATCTTTTCTTGAATTATCCACTGATGAACAGTTGTCTCAGGAGGTCCGTTGTGGCCCTGGCTGTATGGGCAGTATCCCCATCTTGTTGAACCAAATTTAAGAAAATGTTTCCATTACATTTATATCTCATTGCAATAAAATACACTATTTTTACTTGCTGTTTATTTTTTAAATTATCCATAATGAATCTCCCAAAACGCAGTTATAGTACGTACCTGCAACAATATGTATACTGTGAATAAAAAATATGTATACTGTGTTACCCCTAGATGGCAGTGTTTCATACAGGAATTCTAATACAAGCCTAGCAATCTGGAAGAAGGAAAGAAACAATATTAGATTAACAACTACAGGTAGTCCTCGTTTTACAACCTACCTGCTTTACGACGGCTCGCACTAACGACCAGCTCTCTTTTGAGGGGTGGTAAGGGCGAGGCATCGTGGGAATTTGAGGGATTCCCTGCCCTGCTGCGTTCTTCTATGTTCGGGGAAATTTCCCCAAGCATAGATTATTATTATTATTATTATTATTATTAAGTTATTATTTATATAGCGCCATTTCCGCAGCGCTTTACAATGGGTGGATGAACAGACATGTAGTTGTAACCAGACAAGTTGGACACACAGGAACAGAGGGGTTGAGGGCCCTGCTCAATGAGCTTACATTCTAGAGGGAGTGGGGTATAGTGACATAAAAGGTAAGGATAGTATAAGACTAGTGACAGTTGCAGAAGAGGAATCAGTTGGGAGCTATTAAGAGTTTAATTGATACGTTTTTATGAAGAAGTGGGTTTTTAAAGATTTTTTGAAGGAGTGGAGACTGGGTGAGCATCTAACGGAGGAGGGAAGCGAGTTCCACAGGTGCAGCCCTCGAGAAGTCATCAGAGGTGAGAGTACGGACAGAAGATAGACGTAAGTCTTCAGCAGATCGTAAGGGCCTAGACGGGACATACTTGTGTATAAGGGAGGATAGATAGGTGGGAGCAGCATTATGTAGAGATTTGAAAGCAAGACCCAGAATTTTAAATTGAGTCCTATATCATACTGGAAGCCAATGTAGGGACTGACAGAAGGGTGAGGCGTGGGAGGTGCGGGCGGACAGGAAGATGAACAGAAAACAAAAGGAAATCAGCGCTAATTAACAAACAATATGTAGATAGGCAGCAACCCAAACGAAGGAGACCACTCAAATCCTTCAATAGATGAGACAATACAAAGAGATGGGGTAGGGCTGCGCCAGCGGAAAAGTAAAATAACGTAAAATAGTCCAAAAGAGTCTCACTAGAGCAACAATGCTTGATGGGATATAGATGAGTAGTTGTTTCAGGAGGAGTGGGTGCGTCCTAGTGTCTCAGGGTATTCGCATATGTGAAAGACAGAGATACAGGAACAACCAGTAGTGTGATACCTTTAAAATCCAAAGGGTAAAATAGTAGTAGAAGGCAGAAAACTCACATTTAAAAGTGCTATTCCCCAAGTATAAGGGAAGGAGTGCTAGATGAGAGGAAGTAGATTAGAGGGATTCCCTGCTCTTGTGCGTTTGTCTATGTTCAGGGAAATGTCCCTGAACACAGACATGTGCACCAGAGCGGGGAATCTCTTAATCTATGTTCGGGGAAATTTCGCCAAGCATAGATTAGAGGGATTCCCTGCTCTGTTGCGTTTGTCTATGTTCAGGGACATTTCCCCGAACATAGAGGAACGCAGCAGAGCAGGGAATCCCTTAACTCCTCACTTACCGACCAATTCATTCTACAACCGGGTCGAAGGAACGGAATCGGTCGGTAAATGAGGAGTGTCTGTAAATGAAATAATGTCACAATGTTGATTATAATGGAAAACAACACGACGTCAAGCACAGTGGATGAAATAAACAAAGAACCCTGCACACTGATATTGTGTAAATGCTCCGGCCATCCACAGTGGAGGTGCTCCGTGTCAGGCGGACATCGCTGGATCCACCAGTAAAGTCTTCAAAAGAAATAAACGCAGGCAACACTCCAAGTTGGAGTGTTGCCTGCGTTTATTCCTTTTGAAGCACAGTGGATGGTCACGATCATGATGTAACATTGTGTTCCAGATTTCTGTACACACAGAAAGCATATGTGTTCTAAAACCTCATTGAAGAATCCTCAAAAGGGCATGCTACAACAAGGGAAGTAAATGGTTGGACATAAAGACATGCCACAACACGGGAAATAACTGGGCTCACAGACATGCTACAGCATGGGAAATAAACAGTTGGCATTCAGACCTGTTTAAAGTGAAATTGTCACTTCCAAGGATGTTTGTTTCTATATATATTTAAAAAATGTGTTTGTGAAGTGTAAAAAAAATATTCATGCTTCCATATCTGATCCTTGTCATTCATTGCTGTAAAATCTCTCCTTTATTCTATGGGCTAAATTCCAGAGAAGTAACAGTTCCTCTTTAAGCTGACGCAGCCCACTCAGGGCCGTCTTTAACGCGGGGCAAACGGGGCAGCTGCCCCGGGCCCAGTTACTCCTGGGGGGCCCAAAGCAGCTGCCCCGTGGCCCCACCGCCCATCAGGTGCTTGTATTCCGGCTGCCCATACTCTATGGGGGCCCATCGGGTGGCCAATACACTTAGGGCCACCCGGTGAGCACGTTACAGCAGGGGGCCCAGTCGGGTGCTGTGGCCCTTTAACAGCACGACCGGGCCCTCTGATTTACGGCAGCATGGGAGGAAGTGACGTCGGTGAGTCACTTCCTCCCTCTGAGATCATGAGCCGCGCAGGAGGAAGGCTGAGCCAGGAGGCAGCGAGGAGGGGGACTGAGCAAAGTGAGCCAGTCCCCAACTCCCAACCACCCCAACCAGCACACTGGACCCCAGGGAAGGTAGGAAACTAGAGGGGGCTTTACAGTTTGCATATTATGTCAGTATGTGTGTGTTTATGTCTGTCAGTAGGTCTGTGTGTGTGAGTATGACTGTGTGTGTGTCTGTCAGTAGGTCTGTGTCTGTGTGTGTGAGTATGACTGTGTGTGTGTCTGTCAGTAGGTCTGTGTCTGTGTGTGTGAGTATGACTGTGTGTGTGTCTGTCAGTAGGTCTGTAGTGAGCACCGGTCATTCATTGGATGTAGTGTTGGTGTTTGTTAGTATGAGGTAATAGTGAGCACCGGTCATTCATTGAATGTAGTGTTGGTGTTTGCGTTACCATTTTTTTTTTCTTTGCCCAATGTACAATTTTGACCACCAGCTCATAATGATGGATTTTGGCAATATTTTGCCCAGGAGAGATGGTAAACCGTAAAAGGTACAGGGGAGGTTTATGTGCAGAAAGGAGCAGAGTGTATAAGGAACAATATGGAGATATATGTACAGAAATAATGCTTGTAATAGACACTAAAAGTAACAAGCAAAAATAAATAAAAGAAAAATGCAGATATATAAAGAAACATGCATTTAGTGCAGAAAGCAATGAAGAATGTATTCACTAATAGTGAACTGTAGTGAACTCTAAACAGAATTGCAAGTTTTGGGCAAAAGTAGCAGAACTGGGGGGAAAAAACAACAAAATAGCAATTTTTATAATGTCCTATTTAGTAAAAGAAAAATCAAAAAAAAAAATTCTGAAAAAAATGTTAGTAGGTAATATGAGTATTAAAAAAAAAAAAATGTTTTGGGACAATCTTTACTTTAGTTTTTAGCAGGAAAAGAGAAATAAAATGGGCCATGAGAGCCATTTGTACATTGATACATGGTATGGTATGGCTTTACAGTTTGCATATTATGTCAGTATGTGTGTGTTTATGTCTGTCAGTAGGTCTGTGTGTGTGAGTATGACTGTGTGTGTGTCTGTCAGTAGGTCTGTGTGTGTGTCTGTCAGTAGGTCTGTGTGTGTGAGTATGACTGTGTGTGTGTGTCTGTCAGTAGGTCTGTGTGTGTGTCTGTCAGTAGGTCTGTGTGTGTGAGTATGACTGTGTGTGTGTCTGTCAGTAGGTCTGTGTGTGTGTGTGTGTGTCTGTCACTATGTCTGTGTGTGTGTGTCTGTCAGTAGGTCTGTTAGTATGTCTGTGTGTGTGTGCCTGTCAGTAGGTCTGTGTGTGTGTGTGTGTGTGTGTCTGTCAGTAGGTCCATGTGTGTCAGTATGTCTGTGTGTCAGTGTGTTTGGGTGTCAGTATGTCTGTGTGTGTGTGCGCCTGTCAGTAGGTCTGTGTGTGTGTCTGTCAGTAGGTCCATGTGTGTCAGTGTGTCAGTGTGTTTGGGTGTCAGTATGCCTGTGTGTGTCAGTATGTCTGTGTGTGTGTGCCTGTCAGTAGTGTGTGTGTGTGTGTGTCTGTCAGTAGGTCCATGTGTGTCAGTATGTCTGTGTGTCAGTGTGTTTGGGTGTCAGTATGCCTGTGTGTGTCAGTATGTCTGTGTGTGTGTGTGTGTGTGTGTGTGCCACTATGTCTGTCTGGGTGTGTGGTAGTATGTGTTTGTGTGTGCCAGTATGTCTGTCAGTGTATGTGTCGGTGTCCATATGTCAGTATGTATGTGTCAGTATGTCTGTCAGTTTATGTGTCTGTGTAAGTATGTCTGTCAGTTTGTATACATATAATCTGTGTGTGTATATGTGCATACATCTCAGCATTCACACACTAACACTACATACAAATACACCCCTGCATTCAAACTCCAACACTAGGTACAAACACATGTCTGTGTTACACACCAAAATTATATGTAAACACACCCTTGCATTCAAAAACCAACACTACACATAAATACATGCTTGCAAGTACACCAACACCACATACAAACTTATTTTACAAAAAAAACCTGTTTACATTCAAACACACAAAAACAGCGTTGTGCTAAATACAAACCTTCAAACATGGGTAAATGGTAGAGCCACAGCTGTCAATGCATTGCTGAAGTTGCACGACAGATGGGGAACTACCTTCTAATCACCCGTGCGATAGGGAGGCACAAAAATTCTTGCACCTCTCTACTTTAGGTCTGCCTCTGCGTTGGGGTGGAGGACATGATTGCACACCTGGCGAGGGTACCAGGGGGCCCAAGCAAATGCTTTGCCCAGGGTCCAATCAATATTAAAGACGGCCCTGAGCCCACTGGTAATGCCCTGTGCGTGCACTTGATCCCAGATTTAGTATTGGATTCAGGAGACACCCAACATGATCAGGTCATAAGATGGGGTGCAGATTTTAGGTGACGAAATGTGGACTCCAAAAAATTTTCGACGGAAAAGCTATGATGAATCATAGACATTACAGAAAAATTAATTGAAATGTTAATTTCACTCAGGTTTCACTATTATAAAAAGAGGTGATTTGAATTTTTTAATTAAGTGCTGCCATCTGTCTTAGAAATATGAACCTTCTGTGACCCATAACCTGAACAAAGTTGGACAGTAATAATGTGAATCATGATATTCCATGCAGTATTGATTGCTCCATTCATCCAGTTTTTGTTTTTACAGGAGATACAGAAGGCCGGTGAAGGTGTTGGTGCCCAGAAGGCATCACATGCTCTCCTTACGTGGCTACTGAGTCGTGATGTACGAACTATCCAGGGCTTCTGGTCTCTCTTGTCTTCTGAGTATATATTACGCAGCTACCCCCGTCTCTCTGGCATACACAGTTCTCTTCAAAGTGGTAATCAAAGAGAATTTATCGTAAAAGGGATTCCATAGCCCTAAACTTTTAATCTATTCCACACTATTTTACTATTGTCTTATGTGTTTTGTCCTATTCATTTGACCTTTTTTTAGTGACAGATTCCTTGGCTCATCGAAAAGCCCGGAGATTCCCTCTGTCATGCAAATCTGCACCGCAGCAGAAATCACAGGCAAAGAGGAAATCTGGAGGGGATAAAGATACCGTATCTGCCACGCATACATCCAGTGCTGGTATGATCATTTTTGGGGGTGGGAATGGCTATCATTCGGCTCTTTAGCAACCATGACCTACTTTTAAAAGTATACTTAAAGCCACACGTAGATTTCACAATTGAAGATGAAAGCTTATCCTAGTGTTCTAATTTATTTTCTAAAAACATATACTTTATTATTGGTCTTATTTCCGCTTGTAGGCTGCTACGTGAATCTACACATCTTACTGTAAAAATATATTTTCTGATGTTCCTCACTCCAATTTCATATTATATTATTATTTTCTATCTACCTTCTTTCTCTTTTACATTACTATATACCATGAGAATTCTTCACGTTTCTATTAGACTTGGGTATTTGTTATCATTCGATTTTCATGCAATTCATTTACTTAACTGTCAGAACGCTCTGATCTTGTTTCCTGCTATAGAATGCGTCACCTTCAGAAAATCAGGTACTTTTCATAGGGAACACTGTAAGTGTCATTGTAAAAGTTTGATTTATTTTTAGCTTCATTATTCATTTCCATTGTTGGTTCTGAAAATACTTTCTCTATATTTTTTCTGAATTTTTCCGTGAATTATTTTCTTGTGTGTTATGTGAAATCTAAGCCTAGGTAGTTGCTTGTCTACACTCTATGGGGGATTTAGAAAACTGAGATACTGTAAGTGACAAAGGCAGTGTGATACCAGCACTAACAGTGCCCATTGATAGGTATTATTTAAATAGTGGAGTAATAATTAGTGTGTCAGTAGAAAGTGCCAAAAATATTGAAAGGGGCTATTAGGGGCTAGACCTTTAATCAAATGAGAACACACTAACCAGGAGTGGTGCAATAACCTCCAGTCCCACAAAACTGCTTAGTGATCTAAACAAAGAAAATAATACAATACTCTTACTTTCATAGAAACATAGAATCTGACGGCAGATAAGAACCATTCGGCCCATCTAGTCTGCCCAATTTTCTAAATACTTTCATTAGTCCCTGACCTTATCTTATAGTTAGGGTAGCCTTATGCCTATCCCACACATGCTTAAACTCCTTTACTGTGTTAACCTCTACCACTTTAGCTGGAAGGCTATTCCATGCATCCACTACCCTCTCAGCAAAGTAATACTTCCTGATATTATTTTTAAACCTTTGTCCCTTTCAGTGCTTAAAGATTTTATTTATAGAAGCCATCCCTCACAATGACAACTTTTTAGCTGCACACCGGGTTATGTCATGATTTGACAAAGGCCCGTTTTGGAGCCGAAACATTGCCATTGTGAAGGATGGCTCCAATAAAACATTTGTAAGCACTGAATAGAAGAGTGCTCTGTCATGTCCTTTGTTTTGCGTGATAACTAATATTTACAAGGGAAGTATTTTGCTAATAAAACTTCCTTTTACTAACCAGCGAACTGGAATCATTTTAAATGTTTTTTATTGTTTTGAATAATAATAATAAAAATAAAAATCGTACATTTTTGTCAACGTTTTTAACAGTCAATAATATTTAAACATTATGGTATATGAACAGTGACATAATAGCAAGGATCTTCTGTTATAGTTACATTATTAATACTATAAGTAACAACACAAAGATCATAAATGAAGAAAAACATAATAAATTAAAACTGGGGAAAAATGAATAAATTGCGCATCCATAGTATGATACGAATAATTAAAAAAGAAAAAGGAAGAAAAAAAAGTAAAATTAATATGTCATATAGATTTATAAAAATATTGTATATTAAATGACAAATACAGTAAATAACGAGTCAAACATAAGTGATAAAACAGTTTTCATGTCGGGTGGAAGCTTGTTCTTACTCCTCATCGCCTTCTCCTACTTAGACCAGTCATGTCTGAGGAATATATTAGTTGTCGATGGTACTCGGAGAGCAAGTTTTCATCTTTTATTTTCAAATAAAAACAGTAGGACATCTTTGACAGAGGAAATTGTAACAGATTTCCAGTATCTAGGAATAATTGATGTAGCTGAGATAAGGAGGTGGCCTATTATTCTTTTGTGTTTTGGTAAATCTTCAGGGAGATGTTTAAGTAAGCATAATCACGGATTTAAATCAACAGAGAACTCAGTGATAGATATGATCATTTGCCAATAGATGGATAGTTTGGGGCATGACCAAATATTATGGTATAAAGTACTATCTGAGTGAGCTGGAATCTGAATTGGGAAATTTAGGATGACACAGATGAGTGAGAAAAGAGATTTGGAGATTTTTATACCTATTACTATATTTGCAGGAACAACATCTTTTCAGCCACTTTGCTGTATTACAGGACTGTTATAATTCTGTACTGCTTCCCGTGTCCCCTGTACATTGGTATGTGTCTGTGTACGTCTGCAGCAGTAGGCACTGGTACAACGCATTTGCGGATCATACTAGTAGTCTTAGTGTGATAATGAAGGAACACATTCATGTGATGATCCAGAAATTTATAGACTGAACATAAACAGGTTAGCTGTTCAGAGTTATTATCCCCAACCTGACATGGCAGTGACTTTAAGGCATCACGAGCCATAGGTAAGACCAAAGAATGTAATAAATGAAGATAGACATTCTGAAGTAAGTCAGGGTGAGCAGGGGTGAAATAGAATTGAAGTTCAAAAAAGGTAGCACACAGCTTCAAAGTTGAGTCAGTACATTTATTAATAAGAGCCTGCAATGCTGTAATTTGTCAGACCTGTATAAAGGTTTCAGGGATTTAATATTTTTAATATTTTTCAAACCAATGACTATTGAGATAACAAAGTATTTGCCCATGTGTAGTGCTGTCAATTTTAAATGAGCGGTGGCCAACACAGGCTTCAAGCAGATGTAGAAATGCAACTCACTACAGGTGTATACAGTTATGGCCATCTCGTGGTATGCTGCAAACACCTACAGTTTCATTTTGATATGTGTCCTAATACTGCTATAGACAGAATATTTGCTCTGGAAAGTGATTGGTATATGCAGAGGTTTTTTTTCTCCAGACATTCAAAGCCTTTAGGTAACGCTTTTTAAGCATGTAAGGCGTCAATGGAATACTGCAATAGCTTAGAGATTAACTGTTGCTTTATTGTAAGCAGTTCAGTGTTGAAACAATTAAGGAAATATTGTGTGCATTTAGCATTTTTGTACAAATAACTATTTTGTACCAGAGGGTTTTTCACTATTTAATATGTAAATTGTGAATTTGAAATGAATTTAAAATTTTATGTAAAAAAAAAATCTAAACTGCAAAAAAACCTCCCAAGTCAACTATGTTTCCAGTTACCCTATTTTGGCCTACAATTTGCAATGTACTTTGAATTACCAGTAATTCACACTTTTGTGTATGTATCCATGTAAATCCTTAGAATGAACACTGGGTGGGAGCAGAGTACCATATCAATTAAATAATTGTCAAATCTGACATCAGGTGATTCTTTGCTATGCTCGTTCATTAAAGGGACTTTCCCGGCACCATAACAAGTTGTTAAGGTGCAATGAGGTCCTGGGTGCCGTCTTACCTGAAGGGTAGTGATGTCCCGAACGGTTCACCGAACGGTTCGCCACGGACTCCAGTCAGCAGACACATTCCAGCCAATCAGCAGCAGTCCCTCCCTCCCAGACCCTCCCACCTCCTGGACAGCATCCATTTTGAAGCTGCATTCTTAGTGAGCTGTCCAGGAGGTGGGAGGGTCTGGGAGGGAGGGTCTGCTGCTGATTGGCTGGAATGTGTCTGCTGACTGGAGTCCGCGGTGAACCGTTCGGGACATCACTACTGAAGGGGTTAAACCTTTAATGATTGGTTCTGCCCTGAATGTATCTTTGGGGTTAAACTGTTCATTAACTGTGTAACCCCCTTCTGGTAAAACGGCACCTGGGTAGTCCTTGCACCAGAACAACTTCATTGTGATGAAGTTGCTATGGTGCCCAGAATGAACCTTAACAAGTTTACTTGTGTTTTGTCTTTTGCAGGCCCCACATCAAAATCAAAGGTTCCCAGGAAAACAGAGAAAACAGCCAATTCACAAATGTCAGAAACTATTTGTGAGTCCCTTGCAACCCCCAGAGCTTCCCCATACAATCAAATTTGCTAAAAACATCAGAAGACATCCGTGCCATCTAATCACGTTTTTTCAGTGGTCAGATTTTTGTGGAACAATTGGATATCAAAATAATACTGGTCACCAGCATTACACTGTCAATTGGATATCAAAATAATACTGTTAAAATACCAGCATTACACTGTCAATTGGTATTATGACAACGTTTTAATGGCACTGCACTCATTACCGCACCATTTATCATCTGGATATGTGCTCACATCACACTGAGCCATACCATTATCCTGAATAGAATGCCTTCCTATATAAACTGAGCAGCTTGGGGATATATCCATTAGCAGGAAAATATTATAAGTTGGAAATGTGTTACCCAAAATCTATTAGCTTCTTAAAGGAGAACTGTCACTTCTCTGCAATTTACACCATTGGATAAAATATTGAAACTACCTATAACTTGAGTTAAACTTTTTCATGAGATGTTCTATTTCCCTTTAAATTTGTATTAACATTTTAGCAAATGGCCTAACCCAGCTCAGACAAGGCAAAGTCAAGGAAAACTGCAAATGAAGAAGAGCGATAAAAACACTGTTTCATGTTTCCTATTTTCTTTATTGTTTCACTATGCGGACTGTAACATGAATGGATAGAGCTGAACAATGAGACAGGGAGGTAAGATGGAGCCACCCAGTCGCAGGAGAAAGGTGTGGATTTCTTCTTTTAATGTTGTTTCTCACCTTGCAAATGTCTGTTTGTTTAAAATATCGATACTTAAAGGACCACTATAGTGTCAGGAAAACATACTCGAAAACATAACCCCTTCCACCCTCAGGGCCCCCCTCCTCCCTCACGCCGGGCTCTAGGGAGTGGAAGGGGTTAAATTTACCTCTTTCTCCAGCGCCGGGTGGGCAATTCTCCTCCTCCATATCGCCGTCATGAGCTGAATGCGCATGCGCAGCAAGAGCCGCGCGCATTCAGCCAGTCCATAGGAAAGCATTCTCAATGCTTTCCTATGGACGCTGGCGTCTTCTCACTGTGAAAATCACAGTGAGAAGCGCGGAAGCGCCTCAAGCGGCTGTCAATGAGACAGCCACTAGAGGCTGGATTAACCCTAACATAAACATAGCAGTTTCTCTGAAACTGCTATGTTTATAGAAGAAAGGGTTAATCCTAGCTGGACCTGGCACCCAGACCACTTCATTAAGCTGAAGTGGTCTGGGTGCCTATAGTTGTCCTTTAAACATAATATTAAGAATCCTAGGAAGTGGCAGTTCCCCTTTAATTCCCAAATTGCCTTTAGTTAATCAGCTAGGTGTCCCCTTCAATTTTCCATTTGCAAACCAGACTACCCCATAAAACTTTTATCTCAATCACCATCCCCTTGCAGTGGGATCAGGACCTTCTCTGCTGTTTGTGGCCTATTATCCTTTTATCACCTACCTTCTCATTTCACAGTTTGATATTAATGTATCATGTGCTCTGAGCTTCACAGTTTCACACAAAGCCCCAGCGACGGTATGCATGAGTCATGTTGAGGGGAAGCCTCTGACCTTCACTATCAGCAGGTCGATGACCAACACCATGGAAAACACAGGTAAAAATGCAGGTGACTATTGCTAGGGCATCCATATTACCGGTTTATACCTTTTCCTAGTAAATATGAGTTTTAATATTTTTATGCTGTTATAAATTAATAAATATAAATTAATAAATATATGTGTGCACATGCCTGCATAGATGTACCAAATCAGTCTTGTTTTAACACCAATATCTCAATGGGTTTGTTTGTGTAGGATGTATGGCGTTTGTGTGTGCCAAGTCACATTAAAGTAGATTTTGAAGCCTTGATCAACATAGACGTATGCTGCATATTGCTTTAGAATGTGTACCCAGATTAAATTACAATGTAAACTTTTTTAAATACACATTTATTCTGTAGTGATAACTAGAGGTATACAAAGATATTCATGATTTTATCAAATCGTACCAACTGACAATTTTCTCCATACATTAATGTGTACCTGGGCACACCCCTTGCACACACCTATATCAACCAAACTTCTAATATTAAAAACCCCGGTATACATCATTGCCATTTTCTGGATGTGATTAACCCCTTAAGGATCAAATTTCTGGAATAAAAGAGAATCATGTCATGTGTCCTTAAGGGGTTAAGATTAAAAACTTCAGCTACATACACACTGAACATAATGTCTTGTCAGTGAGTGAGTGTGTGTGTAAGTGCGTGTCGGTGAGTGTCTGTGTGTCTGTGTAAGTGCGTGTCGGTGAGTGTCTGTGTAAGTGTGTGTCGGTGAGTGTGTGTCTGTGTAAGTGCGTGTTGGTGAGTGTGCACCTGTGTAAGTGCGTTTTGGTGAGTGTATGTGTGTAAGTGTGTGTCGGTAAGTGTGTGTCTGTGTAAGTGCGTGTGTAAGTGCATGTTGGTGAGTGCGTGTCTGTGTAAGTGCATGTTGATGAGTGTAAGTGCGTGCATCTTATTCAACTCTCGTTCCTCAGAGAAGCATGTGCAGAAAGAAGTAGAACCAGATGTCTTAGAGAAGAACAAGATGCAGCCTCTGAAGCTGACTATACGACCAAAGTTGGCCTCTCAACATGTGAGTGTAAACATCTTTAACATTCTCTCTCTCTCTGTGTCAGGGGTTTTCAATCAGTGTGTACTGACACATGGGCTGCCTCAAATCCCCATAAAATTTACAAAAAACACTGAATTTTTTTTTAAAATAAGTGTCAGCATCACAAATTGGGATTTCTATCTGAAAATTAATGAAACTTTAAATGTTAATTTGTCTAAAAATCTGTATAAATGTCTAGAAAGGCTTTGAAGAGTCATTCTAAGCACCATAAGCATTACACACCCTCAATCAGACAGCCTGAAACACATGGAGGGTCATTCACTAAAGAGAGAATTGTTGGGAATTCAAAGTGAATACAAATGTAAGGCCAAAGCAGCTAATGTTAAAATATAACCTGACTTGGAGAATTTTTACAGTTTGGCTACTTTGACCTTACATTTGAAATTCACTTCAAATCCAGTTAGAATTTCTGGTAATTCTCACTTTAGTAAATAACTCTGTTAGTTACGAATTGCCTTTTATCAGTTTGATCTAGAGTGTGTGCATGCCACAAAAAATAGGAAAGGCTCATTCTTCAATATAGAAAATATGTATGAATACATATATGTGTGTGTATAGTGCATACACACATATATACACACACACACACACACACACACACACACAAACACAAAGGGAAACTAAAAAGGATAAATAGATATAATACAATCTTGTGTGAAAAATATATATAAATCTAGGAGAGAAAAAACCCACAAATATGGTGTAATACAGTTATAAACCAATGTCAGGGAGGGGGGAGTTGGAGAACGCACAAGATTGTAGTAAGTTATAGGCACATCACCCCATAGGGGTATATGTCCAGCAATAGTATCTTGATCCAAAGGGAATCTTTACTATGTTCTATAGATGTAAAGGAAATGAATATAGTGTAGTACTGTGTGGTATAAAACAATTTCATGGACAAATCTACTTACAAACTAACAAGATAAAACTGCATATCTCCACAGCAAGTGGAGTAGATGTAGGGAGTAGATGTAAATTATCTAGAGGCAGGATAATAGAAGCAAAAAACAAAGTAAATCCACAATACAATAAATTGATATAAAAATAAATAGTCCAACAAAAGCAGCAAATCCAACGCAAATGTCCCTCACCAGAGGACTTCCTCAGGGTTTTATATGGTTTTGGGTGTTAGTGAGACACTTTTGGGTTGTGGATAGCAAAACACAGTCTAGTTCATTAACAGGCTTTGCTGCTTCTCCTTTCTTCCCATTCAGTGTGATGAGTGGAAACACTCTTTGGGGATAAACAACATACCCAAATCCCCCGCTGGACATGGAATAATAGGATATGATTTGTCCCTATAGAGTGAGATGCTCTGATTGGAGTTTCCAATCCTGTGTTCGTTCTTCATTGACAGTTTTGTTATATATTGTCAACAAGTTTAACTTGTCCGAGCCTGTCGTTTATCCTAATTTTACCTCAAGGACTAACATAATGTGACCTATCTATCATTTCCTCAGAGCAACGATGATGAATGCTCCGTGTGTCACGATGGTGGAGAGTTGATATGTTGTGATGGATGTCCGCGTTCCTTCCACCTTTCTTGCTTAGTGCCCCCACTAACAGAAATTCCAAGGTACACAAATGGAACACGGTAAAATTATGCTTGTTGCATTACTGTTTAATTTCTGGCATAGGGGTTATTTTTTATATAATGGCATCTATACAACATTGCAAGACTCAAAAAAAAAAAAAAGATTGAGCATGTTGTTAAACCACTTTGCGCTTTCCATGTTACACACTATAGTATGAAGAAGTATACTCTGTGTATTTATCTTATATTTCCTACCGTTTTCCCTGTATTTGAGAAAAAAACCTCTCCTTTGTTGCAAAAAACGTGGTTCTTAATATAAATCATTGTTTAAACTGTGCTTTACATAATTTACATTTTCAACAAGAACCTGCCCTCATTTAAGATTCTGCTTGCACGTCACGTGATGGTTTATTTAAATGGACACTCCAGACTCCTAAAGCACTTTAGCGTCCGTGTGAAGAAAGTGCTGATTTCAGCAGAATTTAACACTTTTATAAATTAACCTTGTCACACCCCCTTGGCTTTCAGACAATCGGTTCTGTTACTTTCTGGTTTGGTTAGCTCAGTATTGCTAAACTCAAGAGGCAGCAATTGCTCAGAGCACCTGCCTTGCAAAGACTTCTCATTGAACTGCATTGTGAAGTCTGTGATTGGACAGCCGCAAAAAGACTTGGCGAGGTTAGAACGGGAGGGCTTGGGAAGGCTGCAGACAAGAGAGCTACTGCTTTTGCAAGCTGGTTAAAGATATACCCCCAATTTAAAAAGTGCATAATTAAAAGCACGTTTTCATTTGGGGTATATCTACTAAATAGCGGTTTTATATTTTTGCTGTTGGATAGTGTAGTGTGCCTTTTATTTTGAATTCCTCCTTCATGAAATGTATAAGAAGTCTAAATTTGTCAGACACAGTTAATTCCGAGTTTACGGTTTCAGACAGAAGGAAAAGGATTTGTGTAAAAAGACATACACCTCATACAGTTAAATATCTATTTCTCTCATTGCATCCCAGTGGTACATGGAGATGTGACACTTGCAACACAGAGGAACCAGCTGTTATTGGACAAAAGAACAATCCTGCAGAAGATGAGGCAACATTATGTATAAAAGTAATGCCTTCTAATATTATTAAACAAAATTATTGTCATGCTGATTCACATACTGCACATCTCAAGTTTTACAGAATTGGCGTAAAATGACACTGTCACCTGAAATACCTTTCTGGAAAATCAGTTTGAAACAGTACAATAAAGTCAGTTTTAATAAATATCTAGGATAGAAGAAAAAAGGCATGGAAAATGAAATAAGGGAAAATATATTTCAAAATAAAACTTAGCACAGTATCACAGAACTATTCCAGAAATATAATGAACCTTAGAGAACTATAGACTGGCAGTCCTAAAATGGATGTCCATCTGGCAATGGACAGGTAGTTTCAGAAAAATGGAATGATGGTTATTCCATTTCTACTGGTGATGCAAATTAGGCAGGAAACACTCAGCAGATAGTCCGAAGGCCTGCAAAAAATATAGGACCCTTGTCAGCAAGCAAATATTGAGGATCTCGTTTATTGGTGATGTCGTGATCTCATGGTAGCTTGGTGATGGAGCCAAAAGATTGATGCCACAACACGGTATGTCAGAATAAGTCCCTGTAAAAAGAAAGTTGTGATCCTTCTCATAAACTTTTGGACCACCAACAATAGGGCCCTATCCAAGTTCTTCTGAAATCTTGAAAGAACTTCCCTTGGCCAGATGAGAGTAGCCTGCCAGAGTAAGATTGGAAGCGTAGATAGATACGTGTAGCTCTTTAAAAGATACGTAGAGCAGTGTCCATTGTCGAATGTGCCATGAAGGTATTTCTTACATCCTACTCCACTGCTGTGATACAGCCTGTTAATGTAGACATCGCTTTCCACACCACTGCCATGTCCGCTTAAAACATCAGGCAGTTATCATGCAGGCTGGCTTTGATATCAGCTTTGGTAGATGGTGCAGGTGCACTATTCTCTCGGCAGGAAGTTTGTGCGGGTTTAGGAGTAAGCCACAGTGAGAGCCATTTTAGGAGGAAAATCTCAGGGGAGATCATGATAACTGGGAACAGGGACATGAAAGCATTTGGAATACAAGTTTGCAATAACACTTTAGTGTTCTTTTAATTTCTCCATGTTTGACCTGACAAATGCGGACCATGTGACCACTCAAATTTGTATTTTGTATTTTAAAACTGTTGAGCATTACATCAAGTACAAGATGTATAAAACCAGATGTTTAAAGCACGCCAAGCAGTAGTTCAGGAGCTGATTACATTATTTATCAAAACAAATCTTACTTAATAGTACTTTGTAAACCTAAGTGTCATTATAAAGAAAGCAACCACACCTGCATCAGCAAAAAATAAAATAAACTTTAGAATATTCACTCATCGGTGAATCATAGAAAAACCATATGTGTTGTGTTAACTCTCTGAAGGACAAATCTGTGGTTTTTAGGCTGTTTGTGCTAGTATTAGCTATATCCTGTGTCTAGAGCTGGAGTGTTCAATTACTCATCAGAACAGCAGACAAATCATATTTTAGCATAACAAGCAAAGGCCCAGCAATACACACAGTTGTTTTCTTTATTACCAGTAAAAGTGGATTCAGATTACAGGAGATGGATTCGAGGGAATTTTCCCTCTCCTGGACTTACTTCAAGCCTTAAGCCATATGTCAGGAAATATATGATGATGTGGTCATAATAGTGGACAAGATGCAAAGTCAAGGTCACAATGTGTTAATGAAAATTATGTCCAGAGTGTAACATATCAGGAAATGAAGGGCTACCTGCCCTGTAAATATGAGGGTAATGCATAGAGCACAATACATACAAATCAACCACACACCTGATATCAAATATAAAAATAACAATCTTCATTTAATGATACAAATGATAAAAAAAAAAAAAACTAATTATATATACACAGCTATGTACAAATCACAGTAAGGAATGCAAGATATTTAATCTATTTACACAATAATAAATTAAACTTAGTAGACATCATACATCGATTGTATATTAATGCAAAATTGAAAAAAAATGAAATTAAATGAACAAAATGAAGACTTCTGTATAAAGCAAAGCTTTTTAGTGTCACAGAAACGTAGCATTAACAAGATCAAGACCAAACAGGGCAGAATCAGGACTTCAATCTAGATGTGCTCTGGAAAAGACTAGATCAGGACACACCACCAGGAACATGACCAGGGTACAGCCCATATGCTACGGCTCAGCCTATCATTAGCTGTCTAATGTTTGGAAGAAATCATAAACCAAATGTGCTGGGCTTACCCAGCATCTAGAGCAGGCTTCCCCAAACTCCAGTAACTACAACTCCCATGATTCTATGGATGAAACAGAATGAGAATCATGGGAGTTGTGGTTCCGCAACATCTGGAGGGCTGGAGTTTGGGGAAGCCTGTTCTAGAACTTTCAAGCCATTCCATTGTCTTTCAATCATTTTATTGATTTTCAAGTGATACAAGTACTGAAGTAAATGGCTAAAAGAGAAAATACCAGTTAATTTTAAAATATTTAAATCAGTTATATAACAATGTAAGTTCATAGATAGTGTGCAATATTTAGGCAATTCCAACATGTTGAGTTAAGTTACTACTATTTCTGTTATTAATGTATTTATAGAAATATTAGACAATAAAAGGCTAATCAGATTGAAATAGAAACCAAGCAAATTATTTATGCTTTTTGATGCCTACTGAACTGTGATTCTCTAATATATCCTCCACTTGCAGGGGCTGGCAGAAGACAGAGCTCCAAAAGGAAGTGAAAGCAGCAGTATTCTTTCAGATAATTCTGGATCTCACAGGTAAGAGCCTCACCTGTGCTCCTTGCATACTCCTATACCTACAATGGAAACATTGACTTTGCAGACATTTGTGGACTACACTGACCATAGTCATAGCCAGCTGGAATCGGTAAATACCTGCAGTATCATAGTTAACCATAACTTATTTATGTGACAGATCGCTATGAAACAAGACAAAATCTTTGTCATAGGGCAGTAATAGGAAACATTGTCATTTTTTTTTTTTCTTTGTAGCCATTGTTTTTTTTATTTACCAAAGTAAACTATATTGGAATGCTTGCTGGGGTAAATTATGCAACTCATGTAGCTCAAACTAACCTCTACCAGATATTGGTTGGAGGCTACACACCTTGAGTGATCTTGCTTCCATAACTATCTGTATGGTGAACATGCACAGGAGAGGACTAATTTGTTGGAGTTTCTTTAATCGATGCCTTTCTGTGCTTCTGCAGGAGACATTTAGTTGACGTGTCCAGTTTATGGTTTCTTTTTATATACTATAATTAACTTGCAGCATACAGCAATGATATATTGCATAGTAGTATCTTTTAGATATGGTTAATCATTTAATAATAAAACGTTAATCATTTAATAATAAAACGTTAATCATTAACAGAGTGTTAATTTTAGACAGGAATTAAAATGTGAACTCTAAATTATGAAACTATACTGAGTGAAGAAACAGATTTATATAATGATTTGAATTGCAAAATGTAGGTTAAAATAGTCATGCAGTCACTTAGAACAGGAGAGTAACAGGTAACTGTAGAGACCTGTAGAACACTGAAATAAGCTGTATATTCCATTCAAGTATATCAATCCATTTCACAACAGTTCTAACTAGTGTTGGAGTTGATCAAATCTGATGGTTGCTCTCCAATATAATTTCTAAACATAATTTTCATCTTTACGTAATACATTGCCTTTTGGTTTTTTTTTGTATTTTTTGAAATTCTTTATTTTTGTAGTGCTGTGAGTTATAAACAGGCTTGGGTTGCCACAATAGCAAGTACAAGCTAGTAAAACAATACATATTAAGCATTTGCATGGCAATAGATAACAGCACAATTTTTTAGTAGAGTCAGAGTAGGTTCAAAATAGTGAAACAAGCGTTATAGGGGTGTCAGAAGCGTGAAATCAGAAGTATTTTCAAAACATTTTACATGGACTGACTGTATGAGTGGTCTGGATAAGAGAGGGTAGCATATTTATAATATGAGTACAATAGGGAACATGTCAATGGGGAGTTAAGGGAAAACAGGGAGTATATCTCGCTATAAAAAGTGACAGTTCTATTAATAATATTACCACTGGTAACCTGGTGACTGGGTGAAGCCCTCTGGAGCTAAGTTTAACCCAAGACAGATGAGGTAGTTCAGGAGACAGTGGGCATGCTAGGGGAGGTGCAACTTTGTTCAGTATAAAGAAAGTAAACATTTTAAGTATGGCCAGTTGTTAGTAAACTCAGAGGGAACGCAGAACGAATGCATGCACGCAGTACAAAATACCCGCTCAGCCTACTCCGGTGATCGGCAAGCTTACTATGCACACGATAGTTCATTGTCCCGTTCACTACTTCGTGCTGCATGGAGTGTAGAGCCATCATGCGTCAAGAGAGACTCGGCACAAGGCAGCAATTCCATGCTTGGGTATGGTTCCCTTCTGGCCCCCGGCCCGTGAGAGAGCTTGCGCTGGTCAAGGAGTTGAGCCCTGCAAGCGGGGTCGACCCTGGTCGGGTTGAGGCTTGGGTAAGTTGCTGATGCCAGCAGCACTGAGCCTCCATGACTGAGGTGCTCGTCGCTTCTTCTTCCTCCTCCTCCTTGCTTTCAGAGCAATGTCGCGGCCACGTGAAGCAGGCTGTGGGTTGAGGACTCTTCTAGGGTTTTTAGTGCGGAGCTTGCCACAACCTCCCTCTCTGCTCTTTGGCCCACTGTAGCCCAGAATTGAGACCAAAAGCGCTCGAAGGCCTGTTCTATCCACGCCTCGTGGAAGGCCCACGTTGTTGTGGCAGCCATCTTGCAAAGTTGATCACAGTTGTTAGGTCACACAGGTTATGCCGCTTTTTGCTCTCAAGGGCTGTGTTCCACTGCCGCAGGTCAATCCACTAGTGGGGACCGGGATATCCCCCACCGGTCCGGGGGGAGGTTGGGGGGACAGGACACAGAGACAAGCAGGAGCTGTGTGAGGTGGAGGAGCGGACGTACCCACCACCCCAATGCAGTAGGCTTCGGACACTGTAGCCTGTTTGCTTACACGCGTTCACCCTGCTAACCCCGCGTACGTAAGTAGCTAGGGCAGGATTGCTGTTGGAGATTGGGTTCAATACCCCTGATTTATGGTCAGAATTAAGCTTTTTGTCGAGGAGCTCTGGCTTCGCACATCTGCCTCAGTCGGCTTTCAGGCCCCACCCCATTACCTTTTGTTTAATTGCCAAATGTATTCAGTTTTAAAAGTTCCTATTCTAACAGCTTAATATCCTGTGGTAGATCTGTAAGCCTCCAAGTCCAGGTCTTCTAACTTTCCGAATTTAGGTAGGTCAGTTCCCATTTTAGCACCCTGTACTCCATCCTGATTTAGTTCCTTAGTGTCCCACATCCCGGGACACCAGTGATCTGTCCCCAGGTAACACAGCGTGAACACATCATCACTAGGACCAAGCAGAAACCTCTTCAGCATCACTCTCTGCTTGATCTCTTGCATGAGGGGCTGGCCTGGTGGAGATCTGTCAGTCTGGCATGCTTGATGTCAGACCGGTGCACCTCTTCATCGGATCCCATTTCTGGGTATGAACACTGCAAGACCATTGTGGGCATCACTGGCAACGTCAGGAGTGCCTGACCTGCTGCAGATGTTGGAAGGTATACAAGTCTCAGTTTCAGTTTAGCTGCTGCATATTCCCTATTTTGTATTATAGTAATGTACTCGGCTGACAAAACTTTACAGAAGTCAGAACTTTCGTTTTCAAGTTACACGTCATGAGAAGTTTTATGGAGGATCTCACACTCACAGTTCATTTTGTTTTGTATCCTCATGGGCTTTGAGAATGGTCTCTGTTCTCTCCTTCACTACCTCTTTTTCCTGTAAGTCAAACTTCTCAGTTGAATTTTTTTTAATTAAAATGTTATTGTTGTGCAGAGAAAAAGTACTGACAGAATTGCGATGCCACAACAGCTATAGCAAGTGCGATAAAACACATAAGTAAACAGAAATATGGCACATGAAACTTATGCACAATTTTGTGTTATTACTTAAACATGTTGGTCATACTAATCTAGAATCATGTCAAATGCTAATTAACATATATGAGTAGACATAGTAGAAATCAGGGGCGGGCTGGGCCGGGGGGGCAGGGAGGCAATTGCCCCCCAGGCCACCCTAAATTCTGTCAGGGCCGGCCCTTTAAATGCTGCAGCTGCCTGAAAGCTCTGTTAAGAGCCTCAGACGGCTGCAGCTGCTCCTCTCCCCCCCTCCCCTGTAGTGTGGCCGAGCTGCTCGCTGGTCCGCGGTGCCCGGCCGGACTGATAGGAAGGCGCACGCTGAGTGTGCACTTCCTGTCAGTCCGGCCGGTTACAGGAAGTAGAAACTCCGCGTGGAACAGGAGTTTCTGTTTCCTGTAACCAGCCAGACTGACAGGAAGTGCACACTCCTTCCTATCAGTCCGGCCGGCACCATGGACAGCCGAGCAGCTCGGCCACGCTACAGGAGAGGGCAGGGGAGAGGTGATGGGGAGGTTAGGGGAGGGGGGGGGTGAGTAAGTGAAGGGGAGGAGCACGCAAGAAGGGGAGGAGGCACGCGGAGGGGGGGAGGAGAAGGAAGGGGGAGGAGTAAGGAAGGGGAGGAGTAAGTGAAGGAGGGGAGGAGTATGAAGGAGGGGGGAGGGTAAGTGAAGGAGGGGCAAGGGAAGGGGAGGGGTAAGTGAAGGGAGGAAGTGCATGAAGGGGGGAAGCAAGCAGCAGGGGGAGAGGATGTAGCTGAGGGGGGAGTAAGTGAAGGAGGAGAAGGCAAGGGAAGGGGGAAGTAAGAAAGCAGGGGCCAAGCAGCCAGGGGAGAGACAGAGGGGGGAGAAGTGAGGAGGGGCAAGTGGGGGAGTAAGGAAGATGGAGGGCAAGAATGAAGGAGGGGTGCAGCCAGCATGGGGTGTAAATGAAGGAGGGGGAGTAAATGAAGGATAGGGGTGTAAATGAAGGATGGGCTGAGTAAGGAAGATGGGCTGAGGCGAAGATGGGGGGGAGTAAGTGAAGATGGGGTAAGAATGAAGGAGGGGGTGTAAATGAAGGATGGGGTGTAAGGAAGATGGGGGGGAGTAAGTGGAAGATGGGGGTGTAAAATGAGGAGGGGGAGTAAGCAAGATGGGGTGTAAGAAGATGGGGGTGTAAATGAAGGAGGGGGAGTAAGTGAAGATGGGGGAGTAAGAAGATGGGGAGTAAGGAAGGAGGGGGGGGAGTGGCGAAGGAGGGGGGAGGCGAAGAGGGGGGATAGTAAGGAAGATGCATGAGCAGTGAAGATGGGGGGTGTTAAATGAAGGAGGGGGGTGTAAAGGAAGATGGGGAGTAAGTGAAGGTAAAGCAGGTGAACTGGGGAGTAAGTGAAGGAGGGGGGAGTAATAGAAGGAGGAGGAGGGGGAGTAAGAAGAACAAGGGGGGGTAAGAAGAACACAAGGAGGAGGGGGGAGAGTAAGAGTGAGGAGAAGGGGGGACTGAGAAGAACACAGGGAGGGTGGGTGGTGAGGAGAACACAGGGAGGAGCGGACACTACGCGCACACACACACAATGCATCCCTATACATACACAGAAACACACAATGCATCCCTACACACACAGAAACACAACATGCTTCCCTTACACACAGAGAACACACAATGCATCCATTACACACACACAATGCAACCCTTACACACAAAGACAATGCATCCTTTGCACACATACACAGAAACACATAATGCAAACCCTTACACACACACTGCTTTTCTTACATACACACAGAAACACAATGCATCACTAACACACACTCAGACACACACCTTGCATCCCTTATGCATACAAACACAGATTCACACAATGCATCCCTTACACACAACCAGAAACACACAATACATCCCTTATACACAAATACACACCGCTTCCACTACACACAAACACACTGCATCACCTGCACAAACTGGTATCCCTATACACTACATACCATAAGCACACATATTAGATCCTCTGCAATAACACATAACACATCCCCTACACACTCCACTCCCTGTGAGCGAACTCATGGGTGGGTGGAACATATAAGTGGACTTATGAGTGGGCCTTGTGCGCATACTCACCGTCAGGCCCTGGGGCCCAGACCTTGAGCTGTGTAAGGGGCCCCAAAAAAATTGAGCTGCTTCCAATTCTCCCAGAACATTGAATTTTGTGACCATAGTTGCAAACAGCCTCCAGAGATCCTGTTCTACACCAGACCAGTGGAGCCAAACTGCAGCCCATCATCATCCTCATTTGGTTGTAAGTAGGCAATCTAGTATATTATTAGTGACACTAATCTATAATTTACATTACATTAAAGGGACACTATAGTCCCCAGAACGACTGCAGCTTAATGAAGTGGTTCTGGTGTCTATAGCCGGTCCCTGCAGGCTTTTTAATGTAAACACACACTGTGGGCAGCACTGGCATTAGTTCGTATGGCAGCTCATATAGGTGGGGTATTGTGATGTCACATGGGGGGCAGCAAATACAGCTGTTCCCCATGCAGCCACAGGTGCCACTGTGCTGCGAGATTGTGATTACTCTTCACTTCCTCCCAGCCTACAGAGCAGCGCATGGGAGAGAGAGAGGAGGAGACATGATTTAATCTTACAACAAATCCAGTAAGCAAATCTTTATAAATCTGGGTGGGATCAGCTCTGTTTACACAGTTTATTGGTGTTTACTCTGATGTCTGTATTAATATTGAAGGATTTCTAAGTAGTAACATCAGTGTGTGTCAGCAGGGCCAGCCGTTGGGGTGTGCACGCTGTGCGGTTATGCAGGGTGCCATCACAACAGAGGTGCCCGGCGGACAACACAGCTCACAAGTTGTGGACACCAGGCTATTCAATTTAAATAAAAAAGAGGAGTGAGATAGCGCTAAGTAACTATAGGCAGAAACCTTAAAAGGGAATCCCTCAAACCCTTTAAAACAAGATACAATAAAAACAATAAAAGGCTGCGCACAAAAAATAAATAAAGTCCAATTAGAATAAAATAAAGAAAGTCCAATTGGTTTGTTCTTACTGGTGTCCTTGATTGGTGAGGTCTTCTATTTATTGTGGTGGTTTCACTTAATAAAAGATAAAAAGAGAAAAAAAGGGACAACCAATGGTGTAGTATGTAAAATTCGAGTCTAGAGGTAAAAATAATGGTATAAAACTCACATTTACCAGAGCTAATGTCCAGCTCTGGAGTGAAGCGCGTACAGCGGTTTAATCCCCGCTTGTGGGATATAGGGCAGGTTCCTCTCCGTGAATGGTATCCAATTCTCGAGATAAAACAAACAGCCAATAGTGCTCACTGTATGGCAGATAATGATAAAATAATAAAAGAAATGTACTTACAAAGTGAGAGCAGACGCACTGCTCTTTGATGATAGCTTGGGTGGATTGATCCCCACCTACGGATTTCTTTGGGTACAGGAAACTTCCAGGAATTTTTAAGGTTTTTTAAAAACCAGTTAAAAAAAAATGATTAAAATAACAATAAAAGGGCCAGGGTAAATACCCTGGCCCTTTTATTGTTATTTTAATCATTTTTTTCTCAGGTTTTTTTAGATGTAAACAATGCATTGTATGTAAAACTGTGGATCATGTCACTTTACCAAAAATTACAAAATTTATGTCAAATCAAACCAAAAAAGTGTATGATATTTATGACTTTATAAGCTGCCATACGAAAAATGTTATTTATCTGCTCGAATGCCCATGTGGCCTCCAATACGTGGGGATGACCACAAGGTGCTTAAAGATAAGACTGAGCGAACATTGCAGAAATATTAGAAATGGATACCTAAATCACACAGTATCCAAACATTTTATTATGCACAACAAAGATCCCCGTCTATTAAAATGTATCGGTATAAAAAAATGTTCTACCTCCTGGCGAGGAGGTGATATAAAAAAACTACTTGGAAAAACAGAGATGGAATGGGTGTATAAACTTCAGACTCTTATACCCCATGGCCTCAACGCAGATTTTGACTTATATAACTTCTTATGAATTTTAGGTTATCTGATGCCTGTACCTTTAAACTATGGTTTTATTATTATTCTTTTTTACAAGTTTTATTTTTACTTTTTTAATTATTATATTTTATTTAATCTGTCCCTTTAATTTGCATTTTAATATAAGATAGATTTTAACTTTTATTATTACCTAGCTCCTTTTATATCTTGTGTATTTACCATGTTTTCTTTTTTATTATTTTCTTTTACTTTACCAATATCCTTTAAGAGTGTTTTATTCTATCATCTACTTAAATGTTATTTCCCTAACTACATTTCCCAATAAACATTTCGGCTATGTTAGCCGAATACCATGTGACCATCCTTTTTATATTTAAATTAGATAGTTAGCCCTCTCGTTTTGAATAAAAAAAACCCTACATTGGCAATGGGCTACAATAGGGTGGCCACATAGGTAAGAAAAAACAAGTTTTGATCGGCCGTCATTCGCGGCACATACACAAACTACATTTCCCATAGATCATTGCGGCGGCACTTCCGAAATGCGGAAGTGCCGCCGGTCATGTGACCTTTTCAAACCCTCTAAAACTATACTTTCCCACCCTCGTTTTTGATTTTAATATATCACAATCAAGCTGTATTATTATAAAGTTTATGCTTATTATGTTATTTTCGAAATTTAAAGCTGTATACATGTTTTTAATTTTGATTGGCTGAACCAAGTTTTGGCGCCAAAATTCAACTAATTATGTTCCTATATAACATCTATGTGCCAGGTAAACTATGTTATTCCATTTGAAAAAGTCCTTTTTGTGACGAAACGCGTTATGGATATTTGAATATTGTGTTTTTTATATATATTAAAGTATTATTGGTCATTTGTTTGTGCCAATTATCTTTTTTATAGACACATACTTTTCTCATTTACCCTGGCCCTTTTATTGTTATTTTAATCATTTTTTTTTAACTGGTTTTAAAAAAAAACTTACAAATTCCTGGAAGTTTCCTGTACCCAAAGAAATCCGTAGGTGGGGATCAATCCACCCAAGCTATCATCAAAGAGCAGTGCGTCTGCTCTCACTTTGTAAGTACATTTCTTTTATTATTTTATCATTATCTGCCATACAGTGAGCACTATTGGCTGTTTGTTTTATCTCGAGAATTGGATACCATTCACGGAGAGGAACCTGCCCTATATCCCACAAGCGGGGATTAAACCGCTGTACGCGCTTCACTCCAGAGCTGGACATTAGCTCTGGTAAATGTGAGTTTTATACCATTATTTTTACCTCTAGACTCGAATTTTACATACTACACCATTGGTTGTCCCTTTTTTTCTCTTTTTATCTTTTATTAAGTGAAACCACCACAATAAATAGAAGACCTCACCAATCAAGGACACCAGTAAGAACAAACCAATTGGACTTTCTTTATTTTATTCTAATTGGACTTTATTTATTTTTTGTGCGCAGCCTTTTATTGTTTTTATTGTATTCAATTTAAACGATTTACTGGTGGTCCACTGGTGCGCACCAGCAGTAGGTGCAGTCAGATTATAGCCTCTCCCTCGTGGTTCCGGCGCTTAGTTAGTGAGTCAGAGCACACGCTCAGAGATTCTCAGCCTGCGCTCTGGCAACATTGAAAGTCAGAGCCGTGAAGGAGCGGGTATGGCAAAGAGCTACTGATTAGCATAACATCAATATCCGTATAAAACCAGGAAAAGGTGGGCACCATTGCACTGATTTGGTGGTGCAATGGGCCACTTGACTGGTTTTGCCCTCCAGGCCTAAGCCTGCCAGCCCTCCCCTGGTAGAAATAGAAAACAGAGTGTACCACACTAAACAGAACTATAGCCATATGAAGAACGTCCTATGGAGTTGGTAGCAAATAGTAATGCATGGTCTGGACCTAGCTGACGTGGAGTGTTTAAAATAATTATTCAAGCAGGAAAAGATAAAAAGCAAATTACAAGAAAACTCAGCAAACTGGTCACCTCAGGCGTGTTGGGCCCCTGATCGAAGCTGCTGGAGAACCTAGATTGTGTTGGGCTGGTCCGGAAGGAGCTGCCACAAGTTCAGGGACAGATGAAGTCTGCTTACATCTCAGCCTTCGCCAGAATGCGGCAAATATTGCTTCTAAGCGATGAAGAGTGGTGGACTCCTCTCCTCTGAGATGTGGGGTATCTGTGGCGTTGTCATTGCTGGTTTTTGCAGCATCGCCACAGATCCCTGATAAGGCTTGAGATCTGATGATTTCGGTCCAAAGGGGAGTACAGCGGGGTGCAAAAACAATAGTTAGAGTCCTGCCTTCAACGGACTGGGAGATCGGCTGCCTTTCCCCTCCTGAGCGCCTGCTAGGCTTCACTGGTAATTGCCGTCTGGATGGGCTCTGAAAACCCCGGGACACGTTCCCCAGTCGGACTGTAGATACATGTAACGGAGAGTATGTGCACGTGTTAAAATTGGTTCCCCTCAGTTCTCAGTTGAACTTATTTGTATGTCTTGTGAAACTATTGTACAGCGCTGTGGAAGAAGTTAGTGCTTTACAAATAATAATAATAATAATAATAGCAATTAAATTGTCTTTGGCATATTCTAGTGTAATTTATCATGGAGGTTTAGGTTGTACTGACATTATAAGATTCAGGGAGTTACTCTGGATGACTGCATTGCTAAATTGCAACTACCGGTATATGATTGCACTCTGTATCTACACCAATTGCTAGAAGCTTTCCACATTTTCCAGTATAATGCTAACATGTTCTTGTATTTTCCCAGCCTTATTTAATATAATTTTCTTTTTAAATGCTACTTACTGTTTAAAGTTGACTGCTCATATGTGTTTTGGTGTGTACAGTTCTGGTTTGAATCTGGTGACAATATTTTACTAATATACTTAAATATATACTAATATAATTGTTTTTGCTTGTATGATCTCTATCTCCCATTCTCCCAGGTTGTCGACAGGTCATGTAGCTTGTGTAACACATCCCACAAATTGGCTTTGAAAAACAGAATTTCTACCTCCAATTCCCACAGTTGATAATTTCCATTATTTAAATTTGTCACTGCAGATGTGTCCAGCTTTCTATATTCTTCCAGCAGTCATGATACACTTCAAAACAATATCTCCTTAATTCTTCCAGTAAAAAATGTGAGCTCAAGGGAATTTAACTTTACTATATTTTAGTCAGTCTATTCAAAAAAATTATTCAACTCAACTATTTTAAACTCATATTTGCTTTTGCAATCTTCTTGTCAGTTTATTGCAAATAACTGTTTCCTGAATTAACATTTACATTTAAATGGTTACTCCAAGCACAGTGACATCTTCAGTGATTTCAAGTGTTTATGGTGATATGGGTCTATATGTGCAACATTTTAGTAAGAAATGGTGTACATATAGAGATAATTAACTTTGCTGACAGAGGTGTAAGTCCACCTACGGCTGTGTGATTAGCAGCCAAGAACTCACATTCTGTCAGGATTCCTCCCTATTCTCTCAGAATTCCTCCTTGTTTGATTTTAGCCAGATCGACACTACCCGTATGACTTCTAGATTTCGCCGATATCTCTCTGCCCATGCGTCTGACGTCACACGCTTCCCTTCAAAAGGAAGCCGCGACCGCATCCAAATGGCTCAATCAATGTTTTCCTGTGTTTGCATACTTGCTACCTTGTTTCCTATTTACCGACAGAGCTTCTAAATAATTTCCTGTGTACCGAATCTCTTGGCTTGATCCTGACTACGCTCTACTCTCTACTCCCTGACTTCGCTCTACTCTCTACTCCCTGACTTGGAACAAGACTTCACTTCTGATTCCTGCCTTTCTCCACATACCTCAAGGAACCATAATCCACTCTATCCTGGAAGAACTTGCATGCTCATCACTCAATGCAAAATAAATTCTCCTCTTATTGGGATTAACAATAGGTTTTTTACTGAAGTTATTTGTGAAGGATAAGGAATAACCAAATCTGCTTCTAGGAACCATTTGCATATTCTAATTGCATGTCTCATAAACCAATTACTCATTCTTTAAATGTCTAATTCATTGTTATTTGAAGTCTAAAGTACTATAACCACTGTGCAACCAGGATCTACCTAATTATCATATTTTGTTGTCTATTTTCAAAAGGACTGTATTATTTCATACAACAGGAATCAACTCACCTGCTCTGTCAAACGTTATATTTAAGTCTATGGACTGTATTGCTATTTAAGCATTTTTTTATATACTATAATTCTTGTGATGCAATTTTGAAACAAGATTACAAACATTCATGCATTATTATTTGAAAACCTTATTGCTGCAGAAGTCTGCCAAAGTTAAATTTCTTTATTTAATTGAATTATATTTTCTTAAAGTGACAGCTTGAAATGTGTTTGTTCACCTGCAGTTGAGTTCCAAATAAATCTCTCCCAAGTAGTATTACACATACTGAGATATTTAGGCTAGCTGCCAAAGGTTGTAACTCCACATTCGGCTAATGTCAATTATGTCCATATTCCTTGCACCATTACCAGTGAATAGCGTCAGCTTACTTTTAATATCATAAGAACTACAGTTGGCTGTAGTAGTTATGATGCTCAGGATAACCCTTTAAGAATCAAACAGGAAATGTGTAGTGTTTTCTACACTCAGATGATCACAGCTTGTTATTTTATTCTAAATAAACAACTAAAAACCTGTTTTAGATTAACAGAAGAGTAAGGACTGGTTTAATATTAATTTTCTACATGGAGACATTTGACATTAGGCCAACTTGTATCTTAAACCCACCCCCCTCTATCACCCTCATATCTACAATTCACAAAATACTAGAACACTTAGAGTTTTGTTCACTAAACAGAAAGTTGTTTTGATGCTTGTTTTGGTTTTTGTTGTGATCTGTTATCAATTTTTCTTGTTTCAGTGCAATTCCAAATACAAAGACCTCCTCGGATCAGTCTCCCATATGCCCTGAATTTCCATCTCAGCCTGAGCTCTGTGTTGCTCCTGTGTCTTTGGCTGAAAATTGTCCACAACAAAATTCCCAGGCCGCCTATCAGCTTCCACCCATCCCACCTAAACTGTCTCAGTACTGTCCTCAGTCCCTGTTACGTATGTATGGTACTCAAGCTCCCACACAGCAGAGTTGCCCTCAGATCCCATCTAAGTCTCATGTAAAAACCACACACAATATTCAGCCAAGTTCTCAATACACACACCATCTTCACCGGTGTTCCACTCCTGTACCCCATATGTCTCTTCCACCTACCCAGCCTCAAAATTGCCCACCACCTGGGCATCATACACGTATTTGCACCATACCGTTTGCCCAGACACTCAATAGCACAGAATCTGCATTTCAGCAGGAGACATGTCCTTTGACTCAGGTTGAACCTAGTCTCCCTCGTCCCAGCCCTAATGAACCCCCTTATGGAGTCAAACCTGTTTCTCTGTCTCAATGTGACCTTCGCTCTCAATCAGTATCAAGGACGGATCTTGGACCTGCTGCTTCTTTAGGTGAAGCAGATATCAGACCTCCTATCGTAGCATTGCATACAGATGGAGGAGAAACTAAGGTGAGTAATATTTTGGCAAAGCAACTCATACCCAAACTATTAAGACAAGAAAAAAGCTTTTATTATTCAACTGTTGAAGATGAGTTGCCAGAGTCATTACCACGTCTTTTAATTGCAGGGGTCTTAAGGGAATAAAGCCATAATAATTAAGTAAAATATATATTATTTTAAAATAAATGTTAGTTTGCGATGCTACCCAAGTCTTCATATAGTTCATCGCAGTGGTAATTTTACATGTACCTCTCTTTTTTTTTTTTTAGATGTATATATTCCAGGATTGTTGCAGTTATACTAGATAGTTTTATATTGTTTTCATTTTTATTGTTGCGTTTTATAGAACTAAAAGTAGGCGTTGGGACAAAAGAATTCTCTTATAGGACATCAAAGGTTTGCCTGAGACAGCACTCATAAACCAGCTTGTACCTCGCAAATTGAAGTAGGACAGCACCAAAGCATATAATGTAGAGAACAACATGCTGGGAGATCAATGCATGCCACACAGGAAATGTACTAATAAAGGGCAGTTTGAGTTGAGAAAACCAAATATGAGATCATACATATAAACAAAAACAAATCTGTGCATATTAATTAGAAACATATTTACCATAACTCTAAATATAATGCTTTCTGTACAATCATGATCTCAGCAGTACTCATGCATCGTGATCGTAGCATGTTTTTAATTAACTACTGTATTTCTATTTAATTTTTTTATGATTTTTATTTTGATATTTTAATAGTTTGAAAAAATATTTTTAAAAGTTTATCCAACAATCTGAAATCAAGGCTATAGTCCTATAATGTTTTACACACACTTAATGCTTTTTAATTACATTCACAAACATAACTAACATTTTAAAAATGGCAAACAATTCTCACTATGTAGCTTTTTATCCTGCACCATCTTCAGTCAGAATGTGGACTTGACATGTCAGCCTTCTGCTGGTCACATTTTTTCCTGAGATGTCAGGTAGGCACCGGGAGGTGTAAAGGTAGAAAATGAACATATTCTTCACCTACTTTTGCAAATATACTCTCATGGCAATCCATTTTGGAGTCTGCCTAATGCTAGTAAGAAACATGGCTGTAGTGTCTATTAAAGAAAGATAAATAAGTGATTTTGTCCTATACACTAGTGGAATTATTCATTTAACAGTGCGATGTAATGAGTTAATTACTGACTTTCAATATGCAGGTTAAAACAAAAGAATATTTGTTCTTGTCTACATATTGCAAGTCTGTTATCAACTTTGCACGTCTCAATGTTTAATAAATGAACCCCTGTATGTTTCAGTGTGTCATTGTCCCCAGGTTTCGACTGAAGCTGCAGGACACAACCTGACACTGAGCCGACATGAACTGGAATGTCTCATTACCGAGGTGAATGGAACGTTGTATGTTTATGTTGTTTTTGGTGTATAAAACTGTATATCTTTTATTTTTATCTGAATATTTCCAACTAGTGCTGGTTTACCCATCTCCCATGTTAAATATATATCTGTGTGTTACTTGTGTTTATGGATGACTAGTGGAACAGAAAAGTGAAAAGCTGGAGAATAAATGCCATTTCATTTTTTTTTTTTTTTTTTTTTCAGCATTCTTTTAGTAAATATGCAGACTAACAGGATTCTCACTGAAGTGATAATTCAAAGTGAATTTTTAAGGCCAGAGAATCTGAATAGAAAGCCTACCTGAGTTAGAGTGTTTTTCCATTTTGACCTTAAAGGAACACTATAGAGTCAGGAAAACAAACATGTATTCATGACACTATAGTGTTAAAAACACCATATAGCCCCCCTAAATATAGTAAAACTTTTTTCTAGTCGGCTGGTGCTGATTCTGCCCCCGATCTGCCGGCTTGGCGGACATCCTCAGAAGTGGTGATTTTGGCCAATCACAATGCTTTCCCATTAGGAAAGCATTGGATTGGCTGAACTTGTCAAGGAGGCAAAGCCAGCACAAGCCAAACACACCAATGGCCAATCAGCATCTCCTCATAGAGATGCATTAAATCAATGTATCTCTGTGAGGAAAGTTCAGTGTCTGCAGCACTGCCCCAGGAAGCAGCTCTAGTAGCCATCTGAGGAGTGGCCAGTGAAGTTATCACTAGGCTGTAATGTAAACACTGCATTTTCTCTGAAAAGACAGTGTTTACAGCAAAAAGCCTGAAGGTACACCGGTACAAATACAATAAGCTGTAGTTCTGGTGACTAAAGTGTCCCTTTAAATGTGAAATTCTCTTTGAATTAATCTTGAATTCTCACTTTAGTGAATAACCCTATAATACTACATTTGCCACTATTTATCTTCTAACATCCCAAACCTACCCTAATCATCGTCCAGTTAGTGTATTCATTTCTAGAGACCTAGATAACTGCAGAACCATGATGCAACAAGTATAGAAATTCCTATATTAACTATGTTATTATTATTTATAAATCACTAACAAGTTCTGCAACGCTGTACAATAGGTGAACTAACTGACAAGTTTTTGTAACAAGATGAGCTGGACACACTGAAACGCAGGTATTAACAGGGCTACTCACTAAAGTGAGAATTCAAAGTGAATTTCAAATCTAAGGCCAAAGTAACAGAAATCAAAGCATTGCTGACTTAGATATTTTTTAAATTTTGTCCTTAAATTTGAAATTCACATTAAATTCTTACTTTACTGAATAGCCCTGTTTTTATTTTAAGGGCACTCAGGTCAAGGCACATCAAACTTAACTTTTTTCACCCCATCCCCCTTTCTTTTCAATGCCCTACAATTTTTAAATATTTGAATTTAAAACTTTAACTGCAGCGCATGATAGCTGTTATAACCTGACTTTGTCTGGATTATGCAGCTTTCCTACAAAATCTTCTTCACCAGCGATGGCGAGACCTATGGCATAAACCTCTCTGTGGGCATGCAGCCATATGTCGCTGGCAGAGTGCCCAGTGGTGTAATCACCCTAGCGGATGCCTTGTTAGCCTCGTGTCCTGGGGGGCCCAAGAGCTGGCCAGCTTGTTTACATTTGCGCACCCCCCGAGGTAGGCGGCAGTTTGATTTGCGGTCGGGCGGGGAGCTGTAATTTGACGTCAGACCAGCTCCTGGCATTACTAAGCGGCGCACGCGAGGGAGCTGAGCAGGAAGATCAGAGCTCCCTCGCTGCCTACTCTGCCACTTTGCCCCTGCCTGCCTGTCCAGCAGCACAAGCAGCTCCTGCAGCCCTACTGGACTTCAGGTGAGGAATCCACTCCAGTTCTCCCACACAGGTAGGGTGAAGTTAAATTAAAATTTTAAAAAATAATAATAGTAATTTGAGAGTGTTGGGGGAAATGTGTATGAGTGTGTGTCTGTCAGTTTGTGTATGTCAGTGTGTGGGTCAGTGGGTGAGTGTGTGTGTGTGTGTCTGTCAGTGAGGGTATAGGTCTGTCAATGAGTGAGTGTGTGTGTCTGTCAGTCAGTCAGTATGTGTGTTTATCAGTGTGTGTCTGCGTAATAGTGTGTGACTGTCAGAGTGTGTCAAATCAGTGAGTGTGTGTCTGTCAGTGAAAGTGTGTGGTGGCTAAACAGTGTGCATTTCAGTGCATACATTAGTAGGGGAGTGTCTGTCAGTCAAAGTGTGGGCGGCCTTGACAGGAAGGGGTGGGAAAAAATGTAAATTAGGGGGAGTGCCTGAGTTTGTTCATGCCTAGGGCAGCACAAATTCAAAATACACCACTGCCCACGTGTCCCAGTTCGCCCGGGACAGTCCCAGATTTTGCGAGTCTCTCCCAAACACCCTCATTCCTGGGCAATGTAGTGTCCCGGAATGATCTGAGCTGCACCGCCGCTGCAGTGGCAGATCCGGGGAAGGTGAGGGAGGGCAATGGAGCCCCTCCTGAGAAATTTGTGCAGCTCCCATAGGGGAACTACCTCACCAGGGGCCCGGTCGGGTGCTGCAGCCCTTTGGCAGACTGGACCCCTTTAATGTTGCAGAGAGTGCTGGGAGGAAGGGACTCTTACTTCCTCCCAGCATACAGACTGCGTGGACTGACAGCACACTGAAGAAGCAACTGAAGAATAGCTCTTATTAGAAAATGATAGACGTTGGTCTGAGTAAGTGCGGAAGCTAGCAAAGTAATGTTTTTGTAAGAATCCTAGAACATTTTTTGTAGGGGCTTCCAAAAACATGCACTGATCAGCCACAACATTAAACCAACTTGCCTAATATCGTGTTGATCCCCCCCACTGCTACTGACACAGCTCTGATGTGTTGAGACATCGACTCCACAAGACCTCTGAATGCAACCTGTGCCCTGTGGCCAAGGCAACAACTTGAACTCTGTCATGTTCCTCAAACCATTCCTGAACAATTTTTGCAGTGTAGCATTGTGAATTATGCTGCTGAAAGTACCATCAGTTAACACCATTGCCATGAAGGGGGCACATAGTCTGCAACACTCTCTATGTAGATGGTATGTGTCAAAGTAACATCCACATGAATGCCAGGACTCAAGGTTTCCCAGCAGAACATTGCTCATAGCATAACACTGACTGCCAGCCTGCCTTTTTTCCATACTGCATCCTGTTGCCATCTTTTCCAACGCATATGCACCAGGCCAGCCACCTGATCTAAAAGGAAACGCAATCAGACCAGGCAACCTTCTTCCATAATTCTATGGTCAAGCTCTGACGCTCACGAAGGTGCTGAGGTGGACATGTGTAATCATAGGCACTCTGACTGGCCTGTGGCTTCATAGCCCCATACGCAGAAAACTGCCATACACGGTGTGTTTTGACTGCACATCCATGTGATCGGACAAAACAGACTAGCTTTGGCTCCTCACATGCCACGATAAGCCTTAGGGACCTATAACCCTGATGCCGGCTCCCCTGTAGTCCTTCCTTGCCCCACTTTTGGTCCTTGTTAAAGACACTTAGATCTTTTCACTTGCCCATTTTTCCAGCTTCCAACACATGAAATTCAAGAATTGACTATTCACTTGCTGCCTAATATAACCCCCCCTACCCCCCGACAGGTGTCATTGTAACTATATAATCAATGATATTCACTTCACCTGTCAGTGGTTTTAATGTTGTGGCTGATCAGTAAATATCCTAGCTCTGATGGGCAAGAATACGTTTGAATTTATCATTATTTAATTTTACTAAAGACCACACTGATGTATTTTTTAAAATAATTATATTTAAACAATATTTTGTAACTGAAAACCAATTTTGTTTTACAGCTTTTGGCTAGATAAATGGCTTTTCTATATCTGTCTCTGGGAATGTACCCGAAGAAAACTGGTCTTACAGCTTCAGAACAAGGAGAGGATAAACTGAACAGGTTTTGGTGAACAGATTTTCCAACAGGAGAAATAGTCCGGTGTTAACCTGACACCTTAAACAGCAATTTCTATGGCTAACTGGAAAGTCTCCCATGGACCCAAACTACACTGATTTACAAGTCTACAATGCCAAGGCTTCACTATATGTAGCAGGAGAGCTCAGAAAGGATCCTTTGACCCCACTGGTACTTTCTATAATCATAGAATTTGCTGCTACATGGTTTCTTGTGTATTTAGCCGCCATTCAATATAAGTACCACACACCCCACCCTTGTTTTTCTTGTGGTTACATATATACTCTTTGGACTGTTATTATAATTATTTTTTATTTAAATTGATTAAAATCTTATAAAAAAAAAAAAAAAGACAAGATGTACCCAAATTCTGGATGTAGAAATGCAAAAATGATCAGTTAATAGGTTGGCAAGTGCAAGCTAACTAGATATACACCTAATTTCAAAGCCCGCCACTTGTCATAATAGATGTCAATGTTTTTGAAATATAAAAGGTAATTATAAATATGTGCACGTGGTTAACATCACATATGAAAATTATATAAAGAGTCCAGGGACAAAAAGCAAAAAATGTATAAATAAAAAAAAAAAAATCAATCATTATTGCAAAACTAGTATGGAAGTCGTTAAGAGAAACACTCATCAAATTTTCATTCCTTGTTTTATTCCATTTTAGGTTATGTGTACTCTTTTTAAATACCTACCTGTATACCTTGACTCACCTATTTACTGTAATAAACTGTTCACCTTCTTCCTGTAATCCTGTCATTTTATATAATCAGGAGAACCACTGATCCCATGTCGTGTGAAATCGGTACTTACCAAGGCTTCTGGCCTCCAATACTCAATTTGACTCAGGACTATGTGTCAATTTATAACCCTAGTCTGCAGCATTAATTTTTCCCCATATGTTCCTTTGTATCAAACATGTATTGATGCTTGCACGCAATCTTAAAGCGGCTCTGTCATGCCATACTTACCTTCCTTAAATACATTCCTCTTCCTCCCCATCTCCTGACCTGCTCTTCTTTTCTTTGTATTCCTTCATTAACTAAAATACAGAACACAAAGCAGAACTACAGTACTTTGCCTTACAAATTACTATACGTGAAAATGCTTGACAAAGGGTGCCGCTTAAAGCTGCACAGTCATGCCGAACGTACCTTTTTTTCCCAATCGCTTCCTCTTTCGGGATCTGTTCATTTCTTCCTATCTGGTCTAGTTTTCTATAAAACATAATTTCTTTGACCACAGGAATTGGAGCAGACTTAGCTCCTCCTCTGGGTCAAAGCTGGTCCAGCGTAGGATAAATACAGAAGACAAAATAGTCCCTTCTTTATCTTAGTTTTAAAGAAAACTAGATGAGACAGGAAGAAAAGAAGAACAGATTCTGAGAGAGGGAGAGAAGAGGTAGCGATTAGGGAAAGGTAAATTCGGCATGACAGTGCCGCTTTAAGGTAAGCTCCACTTAGTTTGTCAAACTTAAGATTAGTATAATGCTAAGCTGTCCATAGCGTCCCTCGCTGTATTTACCAAACTTTGCACATTCCCAGTACAACCTCTTCTTCCTTCCTGCTGCTGGGCATGCGTCTAATATGGGCAGGCGAGGGCGAGGACAATTCATCACTGCTAGTACCTAGAAGATGGTGTATTGAAAAAAAAGATCTGGGCCAGGTAGAAAACTGAGCTTAAAATATAATGTAATACCTGTCTGTTTATATTTTTGCTTCAATAAAACAAGGAATGACAAATGGGTAAAGAGTATTTTTAAACACGTGGGAGGGGGGGCTAATATGGTGTGAAAAGCTGGTCTAGTCATGAAAGAGCCGCTTTAAGAAGCTTATCGGAAGATGGCTGATAACAGGTTTACTTATCAGACACTTTTGTGGTTCTTGTGACATTCCTCATTGCTCTGTGTGCTTTTGTTTTCACTCGCCATGTTTCTCTGACTATCTTTCTCTAACATCCCTGACTTGGCTAGGTTCTTTATGGTTTTTGTGATGTTTTGTACAAATCAGCCATTAATTCCTGTATAACGAAGTACTGACTTTATTAATACATATATAACAGTATTTTCATATTGCAGCCTTGTTACACAGGGTTCTGCAGCCGCCATTTCAAATCCCTTGAACATTCCATCAACTGCCAACAGGAACAGGAAGTAAAGAACCAAAAGAAAGGAAGTGCATCATTCACAGCCAACAACAGCCCAACTGCCCATAAATCACAATACATACACTCATACACTCACACACTCATACACCGCCCAACCGCCTATACATCACAATATATACACTCATACACAGCCCAACCGCCCATAAATCACAATATATACACTCATACACAGCCCAACCGCCCATAAATCACAATACATACACTCATACACAGCCCGACCGCCCATACATCACAATACATACACTCACACACTCATACACAGCCCAACCGCCCATACATCACAATATATACACTCATACACAGCCCAACTGCCCATGCATCACAGTTTTTTTTCCAGTATCCTTAACTTTTGTCTCATTCCTGATTATACGTTTAGTTTAATAACCATTTTCTGGTGCAAACAAGAGTCAGAGTTACAGAAATCAGGAACACTTAAGTGAAAGTAGAGTAAGAAATCTGATAAATACAACAAACCAGGGCATTCAATACAAGGTAAATCCACTGTAATCTGAGAAGAGGAGAACTTACATCAAATCTACAATCAGCTCATCCAGTGCAGGTAATGCAGGCCTGCCAGAAGTTTAATGGCTCGCAGAGTGTTTAAAAAGGCCTTTTGAAGCTGGAAACCCAATAGCACGCTTGCATAAATGGTGGTGAACAATGTAACAAGGATTGGATATTTAAGAAGAAAGAGGAAGTAGCATGAGAGATTTAATA